CACCCAGATGGATCCATCGGCAGCGACATTCAAAATCTCGCAACTCTACTCTGATGTTATGAATGGATTGGAACTTGAGTATGAAGTTCATCAATCACCGCCTTGAAACTATCCTTGAATTTGAATCTAGTTTGACCCCAAGCACCCCACATCCAAAATTCACCTTGTACTAAACCTTACATGTTTCCTAGAAAACGGATGTAGACTCGTATATTATCTACTACCGACATCCGTTTTCTCACTCCGTTATTCTTTATTTAATATCTTTTAAATGATTTATGTACCAACCTATGTATGAAAACGGTTTTTACTGTTGTATTGTACTATTTTAATACAATTAGCAAACTTACTTTTATTTTTATATAAATGAATTTATACCTACTGTGCTATTTTAAGTGCTATTCTTTTAAAGGTCCTTGCTGAAAATCAGCGTCGTGGCACCTACATTGTCACGTCTAATGCTGTGTCAAGAACCTTTTTTGCACAGTACTTATATGTATATGTCATAGTCAAAGGTCGATATGCAGTCTCTTCGCGGAATGACTGGTCTATCCTAGGTTTGACCAAGGCTTTCGGGCCAACCCCGAAATAAATTTCAATTTCGGCCTTTGACTAAGTCAAACCTAGGAGTTCCTAAACTGATCAGTCAAACGTCGATATGAATATAATCTGTTTCGGGCTTTGCCTAGTCAATCCTAGAAGCGACTGATAGACTCGGTTAAAAGTAGACGCGGCATTACAAAGGCCGGCAGCAATTATAGAAAACCCACCAAATTCGAGTCGGATTCACGAAGGGTTCCTTACGACTCTTTTAATGTCGTATAGGACCCCCCCCCACCCCCTCTAAATATTTATTTTATTTTAATTTTATGATTTCTTTTTAAGTAAATATGCCACTAAATATATGAATATTTAATATTATATTTTTAAAGTGAATATAAAACTAAATATTTTGGGAATGGTTCATGAGTGGTGTTGACAGACAAACAGCGAAGTTAACTTAAATCCTTAAGGTACAGAACCCGCAAAATAGTAATTTCAAGATCGGTCTTGAAACCCTGACAAACGTCACAGTTACTGGTACCTTCACCTAAAGATATAGTTGCGCGTGCGCGAGAAAACCGACCGTAAAGCCTATGCAATAACTTCGAAATCAAAATGAAGTATAGTTAGTTAATGTCTTAATTTAGGTTTGACTAGTCAAACCCCGATTTAATTAAATTGAGTTTCGACGTTTGACTGACCAAATTAGTTACTCCTAGGTTTGACTAACATTATTTAGTCAAAGACCGAAATGTTTGGGCTTTGACTAAGACTTCTAGTTAGACCTGAGGATTGACTAGTCAAACCTAGGAGCGCCTGAGCTTCGAGGTTTGACTATAACATATATACTATATTCTGTATTTTAATTATAGTGGTGTTTTTTTGTACTCTATTCATTGTAAGATAATAATGTATTTATCATTTAATTTATTTTCCTATAGGTTTTTACCTTAAAATGTCGAAGTGAACCATGAATTGCGCACATAACACGTAAAATGTAAATGACTTACGAGTACTTACAAGTAAAAAGTTGACTACGTTAACCCACAACAATTTTAACCAGTAAGTACGCTAGTAACACCCACTTAAGTATCTTCAACCGGTAATGATGTGAATCAACTTTTTTTTGGATTCGTGTAGAGGCTTTGTGATGATGAATGATTAAAAGGATATTATGAATCATTTTATGTAGGTACGTTATGTACTGTAAGTTTAAAGTTATTAATTTGATATTTTTGTATAGCCTGTTGAGATTTAAGTGGCGAAATAAATAATGAGTTAATTACAACTTGCATGTAGTGAAGTTACTTTCGTACACCGAATATTATTATGCAATTAACTTTTAAAGGTCTGCATGTTAATATGTATAAATAAGTCATTGGAGATAAATATAGCGAGATTTAAAGCTTTTTAAAGCTCATACTTATTTTGAAACAACTCTCAAGTATGAACAATGAACATACACTCAAGTTAACATAGGCTCCAATGCATGTAAGCTTAAGATTAATTTGAATTATTGGCAGACTAACATTAAGGCAGGTAAGAGCTTTTAGCTCTTACACTTACAGTACTAGGTATAGCCATCATGAGAATGATACGTTAAACACGGTTATAGCCTAAGCTTTTACTTATGTAACAATACTTTATGTTACAATTTCTACCCGTTTAAACCATAGGGTTTACTTTTTAGGCTTCCGTAGTCCTGACAAGGAACTCTTATAGTTTTTACTTTCGATATGTCTGTCTGTCTGTCTGTCCGAGGTTTTGCTTGAAAACTATTGGCACTAGGGAGCTGTAATTTTTTAGAGGTATGTATATTAATCACGCCGATAAAATGGTAGAGTAAAATTTTAAAAAAATATATATTTAGGGTAGCTCCCCTACATGTAGTGTGGATGATTTTTTTCCATCTTCTACCCCATCATGAGGGGTATCGTTGGATAGCTCTTTTAAAATGGCTTAGGGGTTTCTAAGCCCATTTTTCGATTTAGGGATCCGTTTGAAAAATGTTAAAGTTGAAAGTGACAATTTTTGTCGCCCCCCCCCCCCTAAAAACTAAACTGTTGGCTCGAAAAATATAAATTAATAAAATGAAAACTATAGCGGTTAAGATAAATCAGTTAGTTCAAGAGTAATAGTCGTTTTACTCATGTATCTATTATAAAATTTCATACCTAATAAAAATTCCTTAGAAGAAAATATTAAAAGTGACTTTAGATGAAGTAATTCCTTCTTCTGAAATATATTGTGGTAACGACGGACAACTACGGCACGGTAATACTATCATACAGTATTGTAACTTCATATAAATGGACGAAACGCGAGCTTTTCTTCGAAATTCAAATCTCGGTATGCGCTCGACATGCAAAAGTCGGGGGTGTCGCGAATGTGCCACAGTAATAAACGGACGATGTGTTATTTTTTAAACAGTAAGCGTTCTTTTCTTAAAAATAATTACAAGTACCTATTTATACAGGGTGTTAGGTAGGGTTTATAAGCCGACTCTAGTCCATGTTAACATATGCATATAAATGGTATGGTGAGGTCAGCGATATCATTTTATTTCATTTTTTTTTAATTTTCATACAAAATCAAATTTGTATGAAAATTAAAATTATTAAACTGATGATATAAATGACAATGCCAGATTTTGTATGGAAGGTGGCGTCTTTTTTTTTCGCGCGGCCATCGACCAAACTTTGTTTTTTGATTACAAAGTAGTGTAATAAACCAAACTTACTATGACATGTATACCTCTAAACTCAGTCTGAACTGAGTTACGAGCATTAGAAGTTTGATGATTTTCATACTAGATTTGCTTTTTGCGTGCAAGTTTTGTAAGAAATTGCAACAAAATATTGCGCTATTTTTTTATTGCGCTGATTCTGCTGCATTGATGTCTGGGGCCTTTAATGGATGGTATTGTTTGTTTACACATACAATGTTATATTTTCCTCTCGTTTTTTATGTACCGTCAGTATAGGTACTTTCTTCGTCTGAAAGTCCCGTCTGAGACATTGGGGCATCCAATTTTAGTTTCCTGTGTCGGACGGTACCAAAAAGTTAAAAATATGTAGGGTAGACNTGCGCCGATGCTGCTTAGACCCGAAACATGAATGAACGGGGGCGGAGCTTAATCGAGCGTGTGTGTGCAAACAATTTAGGCCCTTAAGGTGTCAAGGCGTTCGAGTCCCCGATAGTACCTATTATAAAATTTCATGCCTAAGGGCGGATTTTTCAATCGTTAGATAACTTTTAACTGAAGAATAAGTTTGGCACATTGACAGTTTTAGTATGGGAAATATTTCAAATTGACAAGGTTATTCTTCAGTTAAAAGTTATTCGACGATTGAAAAATCAGCCCTAATAAAAATTCCTTAGAAGAAAATATTAAAAGTGACTTTAGATGAAGTAATTCCTTCTTCTGAAATATATTGTGGTAACGACGGACAACTACGGAACCCTACACTGCGCGTGGCACGACACGCACTTGGCCAATTTTTTTTAACAATATACTTACATATTTCAAAGTAAAGGGACTGCTAGGAAATTAATGTTTTCGCTGTAATTGCCGACAAAAAGTTTGAGTCAATATTTTCCTCTCGTTTTTTATGTCCCGTCAGTAGGTACTTTCTTCGTCTGAAAGTCCCGTCTGAGACATTGGGGCATCCAATTTTAGTTTCCTGTGTCGGACGGTACCAAAAAGTTAAATTAAATATGTATAGCAATGTCGCGTGCTACAAACTTCGTTACTGCTCTCTGTAAGGAAAGTCGTATGTATTAAATCACCTATACAACGTGTTAATGAAAAAGCCCAAAACCTAAAATTAGTTTTTTTTTCAGAATCGAGACTAGAATTGATTCCATTAAAAAAATAGGGGGTCAAATTGTAACCAAAAAATATTTTAATTACTCTGTTATCAAAGGCGAATGAACTATTTACATTAGCTACTAACCTACTCATACACGTGCATGCATACATTATTGGATTAACTAGATCGCGCGTACCTATAGTTAATTACAAAATAATTAGGATAGATCTTCTGTAACCTATTATTGGTACCGTTGGATAGAACTCGTGAAGAACTTTCAGGATTTTAGAAATAATCGAAGGAGATCACTTATCGTTTCCACCCTGTATTATGTAAGAATCGTATGTAGGTAAGTTTTATAACGAACTAGCTTTTGTGTATAGCCTGTAGGCCACTAGATATAAATATGGTGTAGAAGTTACGAGCAATGTCTATCAAGTGCCTAATTTATCTATTTAACTAAGATGGTAATTTTCATTTTTAATATCCCTATATTTATTTGTAAGATTTTATTGAATCAATGATACCTTCACCTTCGTAAATGTTCGTAAAGCAAAAGTACGTTAGCACACATATTTTAGAGCTTAAAATGTAGAGCTAGTAGGTACTTTTTAATAGATGTAGTCAGCAAATATTAAAACAAGATTATCACTTCGCAACTATTAAATCACATTTATTATCCTAAAATATTAATTACAATAAATATTTGTATCTTCCGGCAGTTGCACCGCGGTGGCGGACGCAGGCTGTGCGCGCGCAGGCGTGCAACTGGTGGAAAATTCTCGTTCAGGATGGATGAGCCAACACCAAGTTAGTCTAGTTACGTTGCAGCCGCCTTTAATGCCTAGAAAAAAACGTTAGCACATATGAGTGATCAATTATTTATAATGCTGGACGAAAAGTCTTTTTATTTTTAATAATTAAATCAATAACTCTTTCATCTTTGCATTGTGTTATTTAATTTAAACAAAAAACAACTAAGCCATCACGAATGAACGGTTTTGAGGTGTAAAACTTAGAAGATTTTTAACTTCTTTTGGATTTAATTTATTAACTTTAAGCAACTTAATTTTTTTTAAACATTTAGACCTTATCAACGCACCAACAAATCGCAACAGTTGACTTTAATTTCGAAATTTTTATTATACGAGTTCTTAAACTGTGTTCTGTTGGCGAGCTCGTCGGACATAAGTAATTTATGAGCAGTTTTCATTTTTAATTAAGTAAATTACGAGGATTAACCGTAAACCATATTGAAAAGCGGTTATTTACACTCATTGCACTGATGATGACTGGATGTCGATTTTCAGCTTTACAGATACTGAATATCTTAAAGACTCTCGATGACCAGAGTGGCAGGTAGCTTTTGACTCTGTTTTTCGTTTTCTTTTATGCTCATAATGATGGAAAAAGTAATGATTCTTACCTTAGTGCGTTTGGGTTTGCAGAGCCATAGTTTCTGAAGGATGGCAGGCCCCAGCCGCCGCCTGAACCCGCGTTAGCGTTAGCGTGGGCATTCGCGTTGGCGCTGGCTGAACCACCTCCCCCTGAAAATTATACAGAAACACTGGTAATTAAGATGCAGAATAGAAAATTTTTTTTATCATTGGCCTTAAAATGTAATAATGCCTTAAAATAAAAGAAAAAGAAAGAGCAAAATTCCAAGGCCCCAAGACATTACTTAATTTCTCATATAAGTTAAAAAGAACAGGTGGTATAAAATAGAGCTTATGTATTATATAAAAAATAAATACAAAAGTACCTCTTGATATACTTAAATGGTAATTAACTAACTGTTCTGTTCTGTTGCTTTGTTTTAGGTGTACCTACTCGTGGGTACCGCAATAGCGTACCACTAGCACCTGTGTGTGGATTGTGATCTCTGTGTGACATAAATACAGTCGTTTACTCTTAGTTTCAAACCGAACGGTACTTTAAACAATAGAAAAGCATTTACATTCAAAATGCTTGTATAAGATCTTTTATGTAAACCGAGAATTCAGCGCAAGCTTTGCGACTTTGAAAGTTGCCATCGAAAGCTATGTTCAATATGCATAAGTAAAGTGTAGGTAACTAGGCTGTGTTTCATAGAAAGTGGGTTCAATCGATCATTTTTTGTGAATGTAGATTGCAGAGTTGCTTGAGAGTGGACCGTTAGACGAACGGAGCCGGCGACTGCGCTCGCTTTTATGAATGTTCCCAACGCGCCTGGCTACTGTTATAGTGATCTACATACGGGTACCTACAACTCAAGCTTACACCGGTGCATACCAATGAGTAGCGATGCATTTGTATGCACAGTTTCCTACATTAGCGTGAATGGAAATGTCTTTCTCTTCCAAGAGCATAACCTGAGGTGTTTTTCAATTAATAAGTTCTTGAGAACCAGTCCAGTTTCATGTTACTTACCTTACATTTTTATTAACTTTGATAGTTAATAAATATGCAAGTCCGTAACTTGGGTTGTTACTTAGCATGATATTCAATAAACTACGCCTCTTACTAGTTAATATGCATTTTATGAAGACGGCGATGCGGTTGCGATGATCTTGAATCAGAATTAAAGTTACATTGATGGACAATCTATATACCTACTAAGCTAAGAAGGTTTCTTATTCACTGATTGTAAAATAAGTAAGGTCGCTTTACAAAAAATAATTTTACCCAATATACCTATCTAACAAATCATCTTCAAATATAAAGGACATTCAACATGATATCACATTCAACACATCGTGACTCTTTACAAGAGGCGTTTAATTCAAGGACTTCCGCTGTCAATGATTAAGATAAACTCATTGCAGCGATACATTATAATTTATAACATTGGAAATGAGATTTTAATTGGTTACCTACGGATGTACTAGTGGGTCGGGCAATGACTTGCTCGTTCAACCGTGAAAGCGGTGTTTTTTACCATTTGCACGTGGTAGAGTCGCCAGTAGAACTTGAGCTTAGCTTTTCTGATAAATTGATATCGTATTTTTGTATCTACCAGTTTTGTAGGAGTTTATCTTAGTTTAGCTATGAACCACAAGTATCACGGCTGGCCTATAACTGTCAATCAAGTTTAAATGAGTGGCTTTACGTTATGTGACCTGGCTATCTCAGACTTTATGTCAATTTGGTATTTAGCATTATGCTGAATAAAATAGCGTAACTTAATAACATGGAAAACCGTTGTAAACAAAACAAAATAATACCGTTAAATGTCAAGTAATACAGGAATGAGGCATTGTTACATAAGTAGTGACTTTTAAAAGTTACAGTTTCTAGGTACGTACCTACGTAAGTACTTACACGCTAAAACCCGTAACTTATGATAAATACTGCTCTAAGTTATTACTTCTAGCAAGTACGTTTGTGTAGTTTATGGCACATTGTGTTTGCACAAGTTGCATTAACTACACAGCCTGAGGTTATTTAAGTGGTGTAACGGAAGCCTGTTAGTGCCGATGCTTGTGGACGTGCTAGAACGCTTAAACTAAATATGTACCCGTAACATAAACTTAGTTGTCGACTGGTTATTAACTTACTAACGACCCACTTTAACTTGCACAGTGACGATAATTGCAATAGCTTTCCACGTGAATGTAGTTACATGTAGTCATATCAGAAAAAAATAAGAAAGGAAATTGACTGTCAACTTGTAGTATGTCCGTGAACTTGAATACGACAAAAGTTGACCTTATAGCAACTTATCAAGAACGCTGTTTGAGCTAATTAATCTCAATTATATACCTGCTTTCAGTTGAACGTGATAGAAATAGATTGGTGCAACAAACAACACATGGAGAAAACTCTACCATTCTAACAATAGAAGAAAAATCTTTTGCTTTCATCGTTTTAATAATAAGGTAAATTGTAAACCTATAACTGCTATGCAACCTTCTTTTATATCGCCGTCAAAACCAACCAGTAAAGTTTATATCCTCAGAAAACCATACTTGTTTTGAGACTTACAGATAACTAGCTATAACAACAAGGGGTGTCTAAGCTTGTTTTGCGACCTGTAGATCTTAATAAACAATAGAGAGGTTAGTGATACTTACAGCTGTTGGCTTCAGCGTTGGCATTAGCGTTGGCATTGGCCTCACTGCCGTAAGGGTTGAAAGAACGGCGGAGGCGCCGCAAAGGCACCGGGTGCGACGCGTGGCCCTCCGCGTCTATGGTGTAGTATGCGCGGGGCACGTAGAACTGACCTCCTGGAAGCATGGAGTATATGCATGAGTAATTGTGAGTATATCACTAGAATTCAGGATCATGTAGAGATGGAATTAGTGAAGCAAGAATTCAGGATGTGTATGTAGAGATTAAATTAGTAACAACAATCTGTTGGAAGAGATTTTTTACTGATACTGAACTGATCCATTTTAGATTGACCACCTTCTCATATAACTAGCAATTTCTAAGATTAGTTTTTCATTATACTATTTTCATTAGTTATTATTACAATGTCATTACTGATTGTCTTTTAATTCAGATCTTAGTTAGTTACATACCTAATTGTATGTAAAATACCTTCCCATAATCGTCATACTTATTAATACTAACTAGGTATATCGAACTGAGGCTACAATGAGCAATGATGAGTTCATTTAATTACAGTTATAAAAAAAATCTTGTTAACCGGGAAAAGTTGAGATCATCATTCTATACCCACATGAGCTGACCGTCACGAACCCAACAGTTTATTTTCAATAATCTACGCCGAACTCAGGCCGACCTCTACAAATCGTGACTGTAACTTAAACCTTAGATCGCAAAAGATGAAATCATTTAATAACTACTTGGTGGTAAATTACTTAACTTTAATTTAAAGCCGATAGTTCCGCGTATGAATAATCATACCGTAGAAATTACCAATTAGAATCACATTATACGTTCATGTTCATCCTAAACATATTATTTACTAGCAAGTACCTATTTCTGTCTGCTGTTAGAGTTCAGGAAGGCAGAGATTTTTTGTATTTGACTTGTAAATATTTAAAGAGGTCTTGTCTTGTACCAACGAAGTGCACTGTAGAGCCTACCAAACCGTTAAATATTGAAGTAACATTTAATAATTTCGAAGCGCATGTGCTTGGTGTAATGGTTTCAGACAAATGACTTAATGGTTTATTTGTACGAAGAACCCAACCATGAAGACGAACTTAACTTTTTGCATAATGAGTCACGCTCACGTAGTACGTTACACAAAAAGCCCATGATACAGCAGAAGCTTTCAATGGAACCGATCGTAAATTGCTTTCGTGGTACTCGAAAAGGAAAACACGGAGTGCAAATCGTCGCGAAGGGCGGCAAAAAGTGCAGGGCACTAACCTGCGGCCACCACGGCGACCAGTGCGAGGAAGAAGACTGTGGCACTCTGCATTCCGGCGGCGGTTTCGTCTGGCGTTCCAAACAAACTGGCTTCGTCCAACCCACCCACAGCTTTATATGCCACAACGTTTGGCGCGGACCGCGCGCATCACACGCCGCACGCTAACGGTTGTCGCTGCAAAAACCTATCATCGAACTGAATAGGAACCTAAAATTGGCAATTTAACGCCTAAAAAATGAACTACCGTATGATATAAACACCTCCTTATTATAGACTTGCGAGGATGTAAATGTAGAAGAGCTCTTACTTTAAAAATAAACCATGTCAGAATACTTAAATCACTGCACTCGAATGAACCAATCAATCATTTTTATTTTAAAGCACTCGGTAATTTTCTGCATTATAGATTAGATTAGATTATTTGGTCTGATTTAAAATAAATAAATAAAACATTTTATGCTAATCAAATTATTGAAACTGAACCTGAAACCATAAAATTACTTGAGGCCATAAAAAACATATTAAATCGCTGCTTTCATAGAAACAGAAACACTAACCATTGTTTTAATATTGCATTCTTAGATCACCGTGCCGTGTTATAAACAGGATGATTACAAGTTAAATCTAGGTAGGTAATATGTAAAAAAAATAACCGCCACCTCTAATTTAGCTTATTATGTTATCAATTTTATTCGTGTGTGTTCCACTATTTGTAATGTTAGAGTTATATTGACTTGAAAAAGTTGTAATAAATTAAAAACTGTATTGCCTGTGTAGTTTTTGTTGATAAGATTCACATAATCATAATTTAACTAAGAGCGTGTCAATTTTTGTATTCATAGAACGAAAGACTTCAACGCGTTAATAGCAATTTTATTAATTGTCCAGAAATTTAAAAAAATGGCCCTATGATCCATAAGATAGGCAGGTCGTCTATTTGGGTTGAAATAATTGAGGAGGGCCACTCTTATCGAAACAGTATTGTAGTACAGTTGTAACAATAAATATTTATTAAATTATTTTGTGGCTAGTATTTACTTTTTTCGTGGTGAAGCGAAAGCACTATTTTCGCAAATGATCGATTACAAAAAACAGCGCAAATGATCGATTTATTTTTGTCAGGTGGGCACTATTTAGTTGCCTATCATTTGTTGCGCACGCACTTGATGGTATTAAAATTTAAATCTACAAGTATAATATTGATAAATACTTGTCCGAGTGTCTTACTAAAAATAGGTAACTTTCTTTAAGATCATGTTTTACATTATAAAGCCAAGGTTTCTCGTTATTTTTAGCTGCGCATCTTGTATCACATAGTTTCGCAAAAAATATGAATAATTATGAACATACTGTATCGCATAGAGGATATTTCTTGTATTGAAGTACTGTTTTTCAAATTAAAACGACACATGTTAATAAAAGTCAAGCAGAACATAACTCTTTCATTAATTTATTTGACTAGTATTGTTTCTCGGGTTTGTTACTAGCTTACATGTTTATTTTAATTGTTTTTCTCAATGAGATTTACAGCCGATGCTGATTTAATTGCGTACGTTAGGTAATTACGCCTGTTTTAATTTTAAAGACAACATAAAACTGAATATACCTGAGCAAAATATAATAAACCAGCTTTTGCCCGCGGCTTCACCCGCATGAAATTTAGTTTTTCACATATCGTCTTAAATTATAGCCTATGTGTTATTCTGAGTTATAAACAATAATACTGTAAAGTTTCATCAAAATCCATTAAGTAGTTTTTGCATGAAAGAGTAACAAACATCCAGACATCCAAACTTTCGCATTCATAATTGCATGACATTCAAATAATAATGATACTGGGTACTTTTTAATATTAAAAACATTTTATTAAAAGTATTTTTTTGTAATATTTGCACATCGTATGTACGATAGAATATGTTGGAAACTTCTTTCTCTATAACCTTGTAAGTCTTGTAACCGTATTCTGGCAAATAAATTATTTTATTATCTATATATGTATATAAAAGAAAGTCGTGTTAGTTACTCCACTTATAACTCAAGAACGGCTGAACCGATTTAGCTGAAAATTGTCAGGGAGGTAGTTTAGAGCCAGGAGAAGGACATAGGATACTTTTTATCCCGTTCGAAATAAAAAAAGTCTGCTTATTTATTGCCATTAAGGCGGAACAAAGTTCGCCGGGTCAGCTAGTTATTAATATTAGTAGGATGAAATACCTATATTCTAACTAGAAGATTCATTGGGCGTCTTAATTAAGAAATGTGTTACTATTTTATAATTTTTCATAACCTAGCCGCCCTGAAGCAGAGTATTGCGAAGAAAGCTTTGAATTTATAAGATGTAGTTAATCCCATGTCCGAAATTTAACTATTTTTGCCTTCGATGTTTACCAATTACGATGTTTTATTCATAAAAAGTCACATCCCTGTAACAACTCTTATCGTAAAATAGTAAGCTATTCACGTAAGAGGTAAAAATGAAGAGGTATAAAAAATAAAATCTAAATTTGTTCTTAAAAAATTTATTTAGAAATAAAAATAACATCAAGCTTTTAAAATTGACATATCTCACGAAAATTATATAATAATTTATGAGCACAATTTTACATTAGGAAGTATAATTTCATTGTGTACCATCTTACAGGCATTGGTTGTAACAATAAACTTAGATCGCATCTCATGATGTTACACGCAACACGCCTATCCCCATTCAAAAACCAAAGATAATTTCGATTGAGGTAAGTATAATAAAATTCAAGAGCACCAAAAGATTGTCACATAAGAAAACTAAGTATCGAGTTAAAAATATAGAAATTTTATGTGATAAAAATATAGCAACCATATAAAAATAAAATAAAAATCATTTAAATCGTTATCTTTATTGGAATCCATTATGAAGAACATATTGATTTAAAATCGAAATGCAAAATAAAAATGGAATTTTCATCATTTAATGTGTATGAACACACAGTACTTCATAATCCTTATTCAATATATTCATATAAACAACATTTAAACCTAGAGTTTTTATTTTTACACTTTTAGGAGATATTTTTACAACCCTGTATCCACTATACTTTTAATGACAATAGTAGTACGCAGTCTAAATGAATGTATGATTAAAAAGATATCGACACCACATCTATGTTATAATATGTTACGCTATGATAAATATTGTTAATAATATTATGTCATGTACACAGAGACGTTTGAATCTATCCATTAACATTCATTTGAGGGTAGACTACGATATCGTAAAATATAAATGCCGTCGGACAGTCTGAGAACGAAGGTATTTGTGCTTAGACGATAACGGTGAAGTTGTAGACAGACTGAAGAAAGAGGATGAGAGTGAAGTGTAGTGGAAAGACTCAGTACGGGATGGAGACAATCTAGGATACTAGCGCGCGCCGCGGCTTCACTTGGCTTTGGTGGCCTGGCGCTGCCGCAGGGTCTTGTTGGTGTTCTGGTCCACCTCGGGGAGGTCTGACTCCTCGGTGGGGACTTTCTTTACTGTAAACAAAATAACAAGTTGTAGTGATATTGGATAATAATAAACTAATAGCAGGCCGGTTCATCTCCGCGAGTTTACATCGAAAACAAAACACGCACGATGGCCCACCTACAGGATACTATTCGACAAGGCCTCACATACGAGCGAACATTGACTCACGCACGCGTATTCTTGTGTATGATGGAAGAAAATAAAGAAAATGGTGTACTAAATACAGTGCGGTATTTAACTGCCTAAATAATAATAAAAATTAAAAACACAGAATATACTTTTTTAAGTTGCCTCAAGACACTGAGAGGTAAATAAGTAGTTAATATTATTCATGATAATTCATGCTAAATCATGTATTTCCTCCGCCATTTTCCGCAGTTTGGCACCTCACGTCACATCATTTTACCGAAGTAAGCCCTATAGCTTCGGCGCAGTGCCGATCACTGACGTTTGTCAACAAAATGGTGCTTGACTCTTGAGACAGGCTAAATTACACCATACTGTTAATGACATTGAGCATACATTTTTTTAAATACCTTCGCGAAGTAAATCTTCTGTACGTAGTACTTATTATTATTCTGTGCTAATAGTGAGATTTGCAGTACTGATAATCTTAAGGCAAATAGTGAAAGAAGTTTTGGAATTCGAAAGTTATCTACCTTTTTCTTTCTTGGGTTTCTCCTTCTTTTCCTTCTTGGGCCTGCTCTGGGCCAGCTGGCGGGACTCTTGCCTCTGCTTGATTGTCTCAGAGATGAAGTTGTACATCAAGTACACCTGCCAAACATAAACAAAGCATTCAAGAATTGCAGATTTTAGGACTGTCTTTTAGGAGTCTCAATTTTAATTGAGCGATTATTTACTGAGAATTTGTGAGTCCCTGCTGGTTTCTCGGTTGTGAGAAGACACCAACCATAGACGAATGAAGGTTACGAGCACAGTGTTACAAAGAGCACAACGTAACTATAAAACATACGATACGATACTACGAGTATCTCAGATCCATCGGAAACGTTTTAAGCACGCGACGTGGTGAGACAACATCAGACCGATTAATATGTAGTACATACTTAATAATATTAAAAAAACAAAATACAAGCGGGAACGAGAAGTCGCGGCACATCTTCGCTCCGAATAGTAAGGAATATGCAAGGTTTTTTATTTCTCACACAGTAGCCTTAAAATCAAATCAATCAGTGCTTTTCTTTAACAAACAATTCAAAAGATACCTAAGAAGTTAGAGATGTCATGACGTCATTGGTCATGTTAGAACGACACGCAGAGTCCCATACAAGTTACTATGGGCGGGTGAGATTTGACGTCACGCTCAGCTATTTGCATACAAAGTTGAAACACTTGTAACTTTGTTGTTTCAAGTCCGATTTCAATACTGGCTTTTCAGAAATTCTATGATTTAACTAAAATGATTATAATTTATTAACTTTTAAAATCGATGCATATTCCCTATAAGTGTTATTATAACGCGCTCGCTATGCTGGTCGTCTCCGCACATCTCGCCTCGCCTCCTCTCCACCTCGGTGGAACATGTCGGTGGCTCACCTGGAAGGTGACGAGCACGGAGAGCGCGGCCACGCGCTGTAGTAGCGGCGCCACGCCCGCCAGCCCGAAGTAGAACGTCAGCACGCCCAGCACCAGCGAGCACAGGCGCACCGCCACGAACACGCTGCCGTTCACCAGGCTCACGACTGCGAGGAAAATTGCGTTTAAATTAAAAACAAACGAAGTCGTAAAAGTAATGAGGATACTGAAATGCTTTTAGGGCCTCCGTTAAAACTTGCGAGGGTGCAGGGAGCGCATGCCTGCACCATTCGTCCGACTCAGACCTTTACAAGCCGCGCGCGCCCGCCTGTATAAAGGCCTATTCAGACCTAAGCGGTATTGGCTACTGTCTTCGGCAGAGAAAACCCAGTGGGTATGTGGTAATAATACTGTTCAGACCTAAGCGGTATTCGCTACCGTCTGCGGCAGAGAAAACGCTCTAGCCGCGGTACTTGATACTAAATACCTGAGCGAAACCCACGTGGAATGTACCTCTACCCACAGCGGCAGCGAATATCGCTCAGTTTGAATAGGCCTTAACACTGCAGNGAGTGAAGTGTAGTGGAAAGACTCAGTACGGGATGGAGACAACCTAGGATACTAGCGCGCGCCGCGGCTTCACTTGGCTTTGGTGGCCTGGCGCTGTCGTAGGGTCTTGTTGGTGTTCTGGTCCACCTCGGGGAGGTCTGACTCCTCGGTGGGGACTTTCTTTACTGTAAACAAAATAACAAGTTGTAGTGATATTGGATAATAATAAACTAATAGCAGGCCTGTTCATCTCCGCGAGTTTACATCGAAAACAAAACACGCACGTTGGCCCACCTACAGGATACTATTCGACAAGGCCTCACATACGAGCGAACATTGACTCACGCACGCGTATTCTTGTGTATGATGGAAGAAAATAAAGAAAATGGTGTACTAAATACAGTGCGGTTTTTAACTGCCTAAATAATAATAAAAACACAGAATATACTTTTTTAAGTTGCCTCAAGACACTGAGAGGTAAATAAGTAGTTAATATTATTCATGATAATTCATGCTAAATCATGTATTTCCTCCGCCATTTTCCGCAGTTTGGCACCTCACGTCACATCATTTTACCGAATTAAGCTCTATAGCTTCGGCGCAGTACCGATCACTGACGTTTGTCAACAAAATGGTGCTTGACTCTTGAGACAGGCTAAATTACACCATATTGTTAATGACATTGAGCATACATTTTTTTAAATACCTTCGCGAAGTAAAACTTCTGTACGTAGTACTTATTATTATTCTGTGCTAATAGTGAGATTTGCAGTACTGATAATCTTAAGGCAAATAGTGAAAGAAGTTTTGGAATTCGAAAGTTATTTACCTTTTTCTTTCTTGGGTTTCTCCTTCTTTTCCTTCTTGGGCCTGCTCTGGGCCAGCTGGCGGGACTCTTGCCTCTGCTTGATTGTCTCAGAGATGAAGTTGTACATCAAGTACACCTGCCAAACAAAGATTTATGTAAATTAACATAAACAAAAGTAGTTTCAGTTTTAAACTAACTTTCTGAAGTAAAATGTTAGCAAAAATTATCTCACTGCAGCAAATCTGCTCCGAAGTGATGTTAAACATTCGACATGTTTACGCGTAAATGTAGACGCGTAGGCCACGAGCACGAAGATATTGAACTACATACACGCATATTACTATACTAACATATTACCGCTACCATCCCTGCACAAGCGGAGTTTCGAACTCATCTGGAACGTATCATGCGCAGAACACAGACAAGATAGCATCAGACCGCAATAGCATGTTCACAACAGACGCGGACCCACTATAGTAGGCAAGATGGGCATACCTACAACCCTAATACTTATAACGTCACACTTTCACGGTCTTTATGATCGATATTATGATATATTATATCCACTGTCCAAAAAATTTACGTTATACCATTTTGCGAAAAATAATTACTGAAGTGACCAAAACTTTTTTCTGAGGGTTGGATTTGCGCCTGATCCTCGGACACTACGACTGAGGACTCAAAACGCTACACTTGTCAGTGACTCACCTGGAAGGTGACGAGCACGGAGAGCGCGGCCACGCGCTGTAGTAGCGGCGCCACGCCCGCCAGCCCGAAGTAGAACGTCAGCACGCCCAGCACCAGCGAGCACAGGCGCACCGCCACGAACACGCTGCCGTTCACCAGACTCACGACTGTATAAAAAGATTAATTTAAAAAACAAAGTCAAAGGTAATGAGGATACTGAAATGATTTTAGAGCCTCCGCTAACTTGCGAGGGTGCAGGGAGCGCATGCCTGCACCATTCGTCCGACTCAGACTTTTACAAGCCGCGCGCGCCCGCCTGTATAAAGGCCTATTCAGACCTAAGCGGTATTCGCTACCGTCTGCGGCAGAGAAAACGCTCTAGCCGCGGTACTTGATACTAAATACCTGAGCGAAACCCGCGTGGAATGTACCTCTACCCACAGCGGCAGCGAATATCGCTCAGGTTTGAATAGGCCTTAAAACGGGTACACGCGTGCCCGCGCGTTTTAGTGGATGCCGAGCCTAGCAGTTTCTACTTTTAAATTGTATAGAAATTTAGAGAATAGTTACACTAGCAATTTAGCTGTTGCAGATTTTGTAAGCTTTTAATCCTTGATAAATTCATTAGTTTTGAGGGACAGAAATATTTTATATGATATTGACATGGTAGAATATTCTGCTGATAAGCCAATTGAGTTGAGAGTAAATAAAAACTGCAGCTGTTTAAATTGTGAAACAACTTAATTACACAAGCCTCCTAAAAAGTAAGCAAGCATGAAATAAATTCAGTGAACACAATTGAATAACAAAGAAGCTTGTTTCATAATGGAAAGTGTTAATTAAAACTTGAATGATAATTACATTTGTCCAAGAAGTCGTCCCTCTCTCCCCTCAGGATATTGTTGAGGCGGTAACTGTGGGCGACGAATTCAGCCAGGGAGTGGAGTACCACAAGGCACACTCCTACACGTTGGAACCTGTCACCAAAAAAACAACACTTTGATCGTACCCAGTCACCCAGTCAACTAGAACAAAATCTGGCTTATTTATTTATAGCAGTTCCATTCTTCTATATCTATAAAAGTGAAAGGTCACTGACTTACTCATCACGAAATGTCAGAAACTATAAGTGCTAGGAGACTCAAATTTTGCATGTTGGTTCCTTTAGTTAGAACATAGGTGCTCACTAAGACAGAATTTTGCAAAATTCAACGCTAGTATTTTATAATAACTTACTTGAATCCATATGCAACAGCGACAAAAGCAAATGCAATAGCGGCAGATCGAGTGCGTCCGGCCCACTCATCCTTCTTAATCCTTTGGAAGTAGAGTTCGGGGATAGTGTGGAGCCAGTATGCAGCTTGGACAATCCACCACAGCTTCAGCAAGAAACTCATTGGGTGGTCGGGGTATGCTATGGATTAACAAACACAGTTGAGGGGTGGATGGCAAAGGTAATTACTATGGATGGATTATAGTAAAACAGTGTTATTCATTAAAAAAAATTTAGATATAATGCATTAGCAGGATATAATGTGCATTCCATTTGATAAGATTATCTAAAATGAAAAATTTTATGAAATTTTACAGCCAGGAAACAGACACACTCTTTAAGGATATTAAAATGAAATGTGTAACAGTTGTAAAATACTTACCATCCCAAAGTTTGGAAATGTTGAACACAAAGCCTTCACGCATAATAGCATCTCCTCCCCAGAAAAGAGTCACTAAGTGGAACACAATCAGTTGTCCAGACTCATTGAGTGCACTCAACCTTGACTTTGAAAGGTGAAATTTTTTCGAAATTTTCTGCAAGAAATTATATGAATGTAAATACATAGTAAGTTTATGAGAAGGAACCAACGTAAGAGCTATTTCTCATTAATACTTACGTCCAAAAAGTATTCCTGAAGAATAGCATGCATGACAATACAGACGAGGGAGTAGAAAAACACCGCACAACCATCTTTCCAGCCTGCTTCATAGAGGAAAGGCTCTCCCTTTGGCAGTTCTCGTGTCGGCTCGACGCCACTGACATTATGATGAAGACTGATGAACAAACTCGCAACGGGACTTGTCGCCTGCAATAATATGCACTCATTTATGTAATGCACAGTTATGTGGCCAGTCGCAAGTGAGTTAAAACCTTAAAAACACGGTGTACGTGGCAATTCTGATAGCTCACCTGGACCATCAATCCGACTAAGAAAAACATAACCACACATGAAACAATGTCTGCATGGTTTTGAATAACGAATTCATGACTGAAAATAGGTGGGTTCTTGTTAGATTTTCTTCCAATTGCAGGTTTTACACCCATTTTCCCCGGCAATAACCTATATCTGAAATTATAACATTATGACACTAGAATATCGTTTTTATAAATTACAAACACTAAATTTAATTGTAAAAACCACTAAACTTACGTTTCACTAGACAGTCAATAAGAATTTTTAGCGAAACAAAAATATTCCTGACAGAAATTACACCGACGTGACACTTTCACTTGCTACGCGGTGAAACGTCAACTCTTTGTTGTTGTGTTGGCACCCGGAAATGTCAACTAACTTACTAATTATTATAATTTATCGAACAAAACCAAACTCTTAACTAATATTAACAATTTTCATTACGAAATCAATTTTAAAATTCAACCACAGCTTGATACAAAAAATATTGAAGCAAGAGAAAATTCAAGTTGTAACAAAATCTATTTTGACCGGAACTTACATAGACTACTCGGTATAGCTTTTTTTAATCGTTTGCGCAAAGGTAGTTTAGTTGTACCGTTTTATTAAAGANCGCGAGTGTAGAGCGCGCTTTAAACGCGAAGTGCACGGCGCGAATCGCGGCGTGAATTCACAGCAAGAATCGCGCGCGAGTGTAGAGCGCGCTTTAGACCAACCAATGCGAACCGGTGCGGTGTAGGTCGCGCAACGAGAGTTGAGGCAAACACTTTATTTACAATCTATACTAATATTATAAATGCGATAGTAACTCTGTCGCGCTTTCACGCCTAAACCACTGAACCGATTTTGATTAAATTTGGCATAGAGATAGTTTGAGTCCCGGGAAAGGACATAGGATAGTTCTTATCCCGGTTTTTGAAACAGGGACGAGCGCGATAACGTTTTTCTGTGACATCCGAAACGTGGACGCTTACTATGGGCCTCATAAGAAGGCTCAAGGTCACCCAAAGGGCGATGGAGCGGGCCATGCTTGGAGTTTCCCTGCGTGATCGAATCAGAAATGAGGAGATCCGCAGGAGAACCAAAGTGACCGACATAGCTCGCAGAATTGCTAAAACCAAGTGGCAGTGGGCGGGGCACATAGCTCGTAGGCGAAGCCGCGGGCGGAAAGCTAGTGACGTAATATTTGTATGTACAGGAAATCTTACAACATAAACCGGGTCTCCAGCGCACGTTTTGCCGTAGTTCTAGCAAGTTTGGTACGGAATCCGTGCAAGACCAACTCAATTTTGTGGGCACGTCCTTTCGGAAAAAATGTACGTGTTATTCCTGAATATGATTAGGAAATTGAACAAATATACCAACAAGCCGTCAAGTGTTAATAAGGGGATATTATACAATAAAAAACTAATAATAAAGCCAAAGTGCATTCACTTTAATAATGTGTAAATAAATACCAATACATTTAGCGATGATAAAATTTCACAAACTTTAATATTAATCATCATTTACGCTTACATATCAACGATTTTTAAAATAATTTCTTTATAATTTCGTTATTATACCGATTTAATAAAAAATACTGTTAGGAAACTTATTTTATAAAAAGATACAATCCAGTCAAAATCTATTTATCTAAACTTTCTAAGAAATGACAAATCAATTATGGCTACATATTATATTTTTTTACTTTTGTCACCATTCGAACAGCAAGCAACACCGATATAATCTCTATGAAATATTACATACAGGATATTCAAAAAATGTGTCTCAAAAATAAATAAACTGGTTCTATGATACTAAATTGTCGTTTATAGAATCAGTTTAAAATAAATAAAAAAGTACAATGTCAACCCACAGCCATTTGTTTCTATTGTTTCATAAATTTCATCATACAATTATTAAATATTTCCTATTTACGAAAATTAACTTAAATAAAATATTAAATAAATCATTGGTCTGTGGTTACTGAAAGATGGCAAACACATCATTACGCTAAGATTGTAGGAGTATATTTTGGTAAAGTTAGGTACAAATGTACCACGCAATACCTATCTAGATTCTAGTCCATTGCTACTTTTAACAAATAGTTTACTAGTAATATTTCCGCTTCAACGGAGTATTTATTAATTCAAAATAAATTCATCTACTTCAAAATAACATTCCACATCGAAAACATTGTCAATTTAATGCTACGTCTACATGCAAATTTTCTAAAATGCAACATTCATTAGTCAAAATGTTTTTGATGATACAAACAAACTACCGATGGTGTTTATCATATCAGCTTATTCCTAAAATTGCAAGACGCATTTCCGGTGGTAATCACATCACACATTAATGAACTCCCGGTTCAATAAAAGGTTACCAGCACCAAAAAAAATTAACTCATCACAAATCGCTCGTACGTAATAAGTTTTACGACTTGCAGTAATTCTCCATGTCGTTAAAGTAGCTTACGAGACGCAAGTTACACACAATAGCACGCGGTTTTATTTTGTATAATGCCCACACACGTTCAAATATCAACAAGGAGTTGCTAATCTAGACCAAGCCCAATACAAGACGATCTTGCAATTTTTCGAAGAAGTCTTCTTATAGCTATTTGTGATATAAGTGATAGCACAAAATTGAAGCTACTTATTGATATGGAACGTTTAAATGACGCTCTCGGAGTCGATCTCGCCCTGCTCGACGGTCATGTACATGCCCTCCTCTTCATACGTAGAGTCGTGCTTGGCCAGGATACGCAGCAGGGGGCGGAGTTTCATCCACCATTGCTGCTTCGGTATTCTTTGCCTGCAATCAACATTAATATTTGAATGTTGCTATAAACCATGTATAACAATTAAAATCTCAAATCTAGAAGACTTATTGCCGGTTTCACCATCAATCCCTAATTTTTAAGTGACCCCTATGCAAACACAATTCCTGTTATGTGTTACCATAGGGGTCACCTAAAATTTGGGATTGATGGTGAAAACGGGCATTAGGGTGGATTCGACCAAACAAGAGTAAATATTAATATCAGAATAAACTTGTCATTTTGACATATTTCCCATACTGAAACTGTCAATGTGCCAGTTATACCCCCGAGTTATTCTCGGATAAAAGTTAGGTCGAATCGGGCCTTAAAGGAGTATCTTAATGACTGGTATGCGAACAAATAGTCGCATAATGTAATGTGTGCATGACACTCAGTTGAAGCCTAGTTGACCCTATCGTTAAGATAAAAAGTACGTTTAATAAAAATGAAATATTGAAAGAAAACGCGCCGATGACGCGGTGAGTTGCGGTGTCAGCGGTGGCGTGATCGTGCGGCGTCGCCTGACGCTGCTATTCTCTAACTTGACCCACATCTTAGGTTTGGACATTGCTCTTCGGTTTGCTTGAATGTAGTTACTATGACACACACTTTTCCAATGTATTGTTTTTATTTTGATTATTTTGTGTGAGTGAATATCTAATGCGCCACTGTGTTTTGAACTCAGCGCTTTAGTTGGCACCTCTCTAGATCTCTATGGTGAGGAGTATTATAACTCACGCGAAGTTGGTCTGCGCCTTGAGGTCCTCTAGCGGCGTGAACTTGTACTGGCGCTTGACGACGCCGAGCAGGCAGGCCGAGTCGGGCGTGTTGGAGGGCCCGCGCTGCAGCGCCTCCACCAGCCAGTGCAGGCACTTGGCCGCAAGTGAGTGAGTGAGTGACTGAGTGAGTGAGTGAGTGAATGAGTAAGTGAGTGAATGAGTGAGTGAGTGAATGAGTGAGTGAGTGAGGAGTATTATAACTCACGCGNCGTTCTCGAAACAAACAAGCGGGCAGCTCGCGCGGCCCTTTAGCGGCGAAGTGTTGTGTTCGGGGTTGTGTTGTCGAGATATTTGTTTTTATTCGCAAACGAAATGTCTGAACAGCGGCGACAATTTTATTTCGATTCAAATTTATTCCTAACGCTCGATTTATTGTGTGCAAAAGAAGGAGTGCGCAGCCCGCTCGTTGCCCGCTCCCGCGCCGCTGCCCGCTCCCGCGCCGCTGTTTTCGAGAACCGGTCTATTTGATTTTACGCATAAGATCCTGCCGCTCCCGCGCCGCCGCCGCTCCCGCCCCGCTGCCCGCTAAACTCGAGGCTGAGGCCTAACGGTGGATTCGACCAAACAAGAGTAAATATTAATCTCAGAATAAACTTATCATTTTGACATATTTCCCATACTGAAACTGTCAATGTGCCAGTTATACCCGAGAATAACTCCAGAGTTATTATCGGATAAAAGTTAGTTCGAATCGGGCCTTAAAGGAGTATCTTAATTACTGGTATGCGAACAAATAGTCGCACTAATGTAATGTGTGCAATGTGCATGACACTCAGTTGCTAAGCCTAGTTGGCCCTATCGTTAAGATAAAATGTAAGTTTAATAAGGGTTCCGTTTTTGCCATTTTGGCTACGGAACCCTAATAAAAATGAAATATTGAAGGAAAACGCGCCGATGACGCGGTGAGTTGCGGTGTCAGCGGTTGCGTGATCGTGCGGCGTCGCCTGACGCTGCTATTTTCTAACTTGACCCACATAATGACCCACATCTTGGGTTTGGACATTGCTCTTCGGTTTGCTTGAATGTAGTTACTATGACACACACTCTTCCGATGTATTGTTTTAATTTGATTACTTTGTGTGAGTGAATTTGTAATGCGACACTGGGTTTTGAACTTTGGTGAGGAAGGAGTATTATAACTCACGCGAAGTTGGTCTGCGCCTTGAGGTCCTCTAGCGGCGTGAACTTGTACTGGCGCTTGACGACGCCGAGCAGGCAGGCCGAGTCGGGCGTGTTGGAGGGCCCGCGCTGCAGCGCCTCCACCAGCCAGTGCAGGCACTTGGCCGCCATCTTGGTGCCCATGTTGCGGTCGAAGGGAGTAGGCGAGCCGCCTTGCTGCATGTGACCTATAGAATAATCGGCGTTAATAAGGGCCATCGTTTTTTACCCGACTGCGCCAGAAAGAGGGTTATTCAAATTCAGTTATAATAATAGTATATTCAGTACATATAGGCCTTTTCCAGGGAACTTATACACGTTTCCAAATATAGCTTGCCCTACCACCACTTCGGGACCACATATGGGTTGGTGCTGAGAATGTTTTTATAATTAACTGTTGGCACCATTGGGTAGTAACCGGACTCGCGAAAATCTTAGGGCTCGCGAACACGGGTGACTTTTGTGGGCGTGACTGTTTCGTCACTCATACCAAGTCTATGAAGATGTATGGAGGTGCACGCACGTAGCGACGTGACAGTGACAGAAACTGTTTTGTCAGTCACCCGTGCGCACGCTCCTTTAGGCTGAGTTGCACCATCTTACTTTAACTTTGACAAACGTCAAAATTCTGTCAAACTCCATACAAAAAGCACCGGTTATTGCTATTGTTACGGTTAAAATAAGGTGGTGCAACTCAGACTTAGTTTACAGTGGTGCCATCCTGGTGAGTGCAAATGTGATAATCCTCCTACCGCGACCGCTTCGGTCACCAGTTGACACCACTGTTTACGCCACCAGCAAGTAACCTTACTCCACAGTGGCGCCAATGAGGGTTTTCGCGATTGAAAAATCCGCCAGATAGCAATACGTAGACGCGAGGTCCAAATGCTGCATGATTGGTGGATTTTGACATATCTGTCAATGTCATGTCAAAAGTAACCAATCATGCAGCATTTGGACCTCGTGTCTACGTATTGCCATCTGGCGGATTTTTCAATCGCGAAAACCCTCATTGGTGAGCGCAAATAAGCCTTGATTGGGTATACAATCATTCTCATCAGATAATTTAGTCGCCACGTAATCGCTTGAAACCCTGGACTACATTTAACTACACTACATTTAATAGATAAGAGTTCATACATTATTTCATTTTCATCCTAGACCAATAAATAACACCAATTAAATACATAAACATGTAAATCGCCTTACCAAGCACATTCATCCTGGCCGTAAACAGTCCCTTCCCCTCTTCAGAGTACAGGCGGTAAATGAACTCGGTGTTGTAGTTATCGTTGGCCTTCTCGTTGCGGAGGATGAGGCCGCGCTGGATGCCGCCCGTCATCTTGGACGCCATGTGGTACACGTCCTGCTGGAGATCCTTGATGGAGAACTTCTCCTCGTAGATGTAGGCTGCGTCCGCGCCGCCGGCCAGACCTGCATGATACATTTTTGAGTTAGATAATTAATTATTTCTTCTTGGTCGCTACACTCTTGCCAGAGTGTTCGTGCTTGTCGCACATGGTTTGGTAGCAGATAATAAACAATAGGATGTAAAGATAGTAAGAAATATAAGATGAACAGTAACCAAGAATATAATGATTTTCTCTTTATGATGCGCTCTTTTAGTTTTTTTTCTTCCTGAAAAATGAAAAGGAAATTAGGCAGTACAATGAGGGCTGTTTTAGCAGAGTATCGTAGTTATTAAATACAAAAGTAAGATAGTCGGGAGACAAGCTTTACTATCAAGCTTGTCTCTCGCTTTCTCTCTCTCGTTTACAATGCATGGTGTTAGTAATTAGCGATGAAAGGAACGCTTTAAACTCTTGAAAGAGATTGATATCGATGATTGAATCTTACCTGCCAAAGTAGCCAAATAACCGCAGTATCCGCCCATAGTTTCAATGACGAACACACGGCGTTTAGTTCCCTAAAAAGAAACGGAACAATATAACATGTAAATACTATGGAGTTGAACACATATCAATAAAAAATGTTGACAATATTTGCAATAATTCAACAGTAAATTATTATTGCCAGAAGATAATTCGGCCAATAATTGCCATCAATAAACAATGACGTCACAATGTCACAAACCTAATATAATCTTCTTTCATTATGGCTTCATATGGTTTTCACATACAACCAGTATCAAGTGCCACATTTAATTCAAAAACAAAACAAAAGAAAAACATCGTTTTGACATACCATAAAGAAGTTTGTAATACCTGAGCAGATTGACGGATGCGGTCGCAAATCTCGGTGATCTCGTTGAGGGCAGTATCGGCGCCGAGAGAGAAGTCGGTCCCGGGCACGTTGTTGCTGATGGTGGACGGGATGACCACGAGCGGGATGCAGAACTCCGGGAACTGGGCGCGGGACTCGTACAGCTCTAGGCCCGCTTGGTACGCCTGAGAATATTGTGAAATGTAGAAACTGGTAATTTTACAAACAATATTGACACCAAACTGAATCATTATCGTTACTTGTAAAATAAAATTGTACTGGGGATACTGATAAAGTTTTATTTTTGAGTTTTGTTTGAGTCCATTTTTAATGCGCTAAAATTATCAAAATTCGTGAAGACTACTGGCACAGATTACAGATGAAGAATGGAAAGAGAGAGCTGGTGTAAATTAGGGTCGCCGAGCACGTAGAATTTCGTCCAATGACCCCGAGCTACCCATCCTTATCGCTCGCGCGTAATTATATTGCTGTCGCACTCGCACACTCACTGCGGCCGCACGTCGCACAGTGACGACCAGACTATAGCTGGTAACTTTTCCGCACTCCGCCCTCTAATTGGGCTATTGTGCGAACAGAGAGGCGTATCAATAAAATGCTAGTGTACTTCTTATTATGTGTGATTGTATATTACACATAATGGTTGAAATTTAATTTTGTCCAATCTAATTAAGCAAGGTTTCCAATTTCTACTGATTCATCCAGCTTGTAAAAACGCGACAACTTTACCTCAAATCCACCAATGAGCAGCAGCCCTTGAATATTAAACTGCTTGATACGGGCAGCAATATCGGCCTTCTTGTCGCCAGGCAGGGTGCGCTTGGTGCCGAGGAAGGCGCCTCCTTGGGCTACCCAGCCGGTCACATCAGACCTGTTTGAAGATCGCAATTTAAATATGGTTTAAGACATTTATTTCTCTAAAAGAATTACATTCACTTACAAGAGAAATACAAAATTAACCTTAAAATTATAGATTATTTAAAGTTAAATCATTGAAGTAATATTNAATAATAATAATAATAAGCCTTTTTATTCTGAACTTGGTTACATAATAGTTACAAAATATGATAAATAATAAGATCTGTGTTATAAAATATCCCGAAGCTCAGTTTGCCTCTTGGCATAGGCCTCCTCCAACGATTTCCATTGGGACCTGTCACGTGCTACCCTTCTCCAATAGTGTCCAACTGTGAGTTTTAGGTCGTCTTCCCATCTTGTTTGTTGCCGACCTCTACTTCTCTTTCCATCCCTGGGATACCAGTCAGTGACGCTTTTGCACCATTTTTCTTCTGGGTCCCGGATCATGTGACCTGCCCATCTCCATTTTTGTTGGTCTATTCGGGTAATTATGTCGACAACTTTGGTTTTTTCTCTTATTGTGCTACTTCTCACTCTGTCCTGCTTCTTTATTCCTATTAGGCTTCTCTCCATGGCTCTCTGGCATCGTTCCAACTTTTCTCTGTGGTGTTTGGTGAGGGCCCAGGTTTCGCAGCCATATGTGATGACAGGAAGTATGCATGTGTTGAAGACTTTCCTTTTTATTTGCATGCTTAGCTCTTTGGATTTCAGGACTTCCTTCAGAGACCAAAATTTCTTCCATCCGTTTGCTATTCTTCGTTCAATTTCCTTAGTGGTTTGATCTTTGTGCGATATTAACTGTCCTAAGTAGATGTAGTCTGACACATATGCAAGCGGTTGGTTGTCGATTTTTATTTCTACTGGGTCGGAATTTGTTAGTAGATTTGTTTTAGACATGTTCATGTATAGGCCCACTTTCGTACTTTCAGCGTGCAGTGATTCAATCATTTTGTTTAGGTCCGTCGGGTTTTCTTCAAATAGGACTATGTCGTCTGCAAATCTTAGGTGGTTCAGTTTTACACCTTGAATGTTGAGACCGTATTCTTTCCAGTCTAGTTTGCGGAAGATACTTTCCAAGGCAGCCGAAAACAATTTTGGTGATAGAGGGTCTCCCTGTCTTACTCCTTTCTCGATTTTGAATTTATTTCCCAAGGTTTCTAGTTGGATTCTTGCTTCGCAGTTCGAGTAGATGTTCTTCATAATGTTAATGTAATTTATGGGGATTCCCTGCTGTTCTAGGCTATCCCATAGAGCTGTGTGTTTTATGCTGTCAAAAGCCTTGGTGTAGTCGATGAATGCCATGTACAGTTTCTTATTGTATTCATTGTATTTTTCTACTATTTGTTTCACTGTGTGTATATGGTCCAGGGTTGAGTATTTTTGTCTAAAGCCAGCTTGCTCCCGTGATTGATTTTCGTCTAGTTTCTTGCTTATCCTTCCCAGGATAACTTTCGAAAATACTTTGTAGATATTTGACATTAAACTTATAGGCCTGTAGTTTCCTATGTCTTCCTTTTGTCCTTTTTTAAATATAAGAATAATGTTCGATGTTTTCCACTGTATAGGAATTAGACCCGAGGTTAATATTTCATTGAATATTGATGTGAGTATTGGTAGTAGTTCTTCGAGAGTGCCTTTAAGAAGTTCGTTTGTCACTTTGTCTGGGCCTGGAGCTTTTTCCAACTTCTGACTGTATATTGCTTTTTCTATTTCTCTGGGAAGTATTTTTGGTTCGGATGTCACTATTTCTTGCTCTTCAATGACATCTGTTTTAGTATCAGCTCTTGGTTTTTTATCTGGGTTTGAATATAGATCTTGATAAAATTTTGTAGTTATTTCGTTTATCATTTTTCTGTTTGAGGAAGTAGTATCTTTTTTATTTAGTTTTGGTATCCATTCTTTATTTGATTCTCTCAGTTCTTTAAGCGCTTTTTTCACTCCTCCTGTTTTTAGTATATGTTCTTCTAATGTTTGCAGTCTTTTGTTTTTCCTGTCTTTCCTAATGTTTTCTCTTATTTCCTTACTTAATTTTGTGATATTATTGATGTTTTTCTTTTTTAGATGTTTTGAAAGTAGTGTTTTTCTTTTTGCTATGAGTTCCAGCGTTTTATCACTTAGTTTGTATTTATTTTTCTTGTCGTTCTCAGTTTTCACTCCAGTTAGTAGATTTTCTAGCTTTCCATATTTTGTGTGAGTATCAATGTTGCTCGCGGTTAGTTCATCAGCTGAATCGATTAGGGATTTGGTTATTTTCTTTAAGGTTTCTTTACTGTGGTCCTTTGCATTGTGTGGTGTAAAATATTTCCTAGATTTTTTTGGTGGTTCTATTTTTAAATTGCTTCTTACCATGCGATGATTTGTATTGAAGTTAAATTTGGTTAGCACCGTTGTATCCGTAAAGGCTTTTGGATAATTTGTTGTTATGTAGTCAATTTCGTTTTTAGTGCTACCATCGGGGGAGATCCACGTCCACTTGTTCTTTTTGTTTTTCATATACAGACTGTTCAAGAGCGTTAGATTGTGTTGTAGTAGGAATTCGACTAGCAATTCACCATGTGAGCTTCTTCTACCTTGCCCAAAATTTCCCAGGACATATTCTTCTTTGCATTGTTTTGCTCCGACTTGAGCATTGAAATCGCCCATCAGAATAACATGGTTGTTTGTACACCTTTCCATCGCCTGTGTTAGTTCTTTGTAGAAAAGTTTGATTTCTGTTTTAGTTGCTTGTTCTGTTGGGGCATAGATTTGTACAATTGACCATAGTTTTTGGTGTCCCGGTATGTCGATGTTAAGAATGGCTATTCTATCGGAGATTCCAATCAGTTCTTGTATGTGCTGTTTCATTGACTGTTTGATTATGAATCCTACTCCTCTATGGCCGGCTGTTTCACCTTTGTGGAATAGTATATAGTCAGTGCGTTCCTCGATCCCTTCCCCTAGTCTTCGCATCTCACTAATACCCAGGATGTCCCATTTTATTTCTTCAAGGGCTTTTTCTAGTTCTTGTAGGCTTTCTTCAGTTCGAAGGGTTCTCGTATTTAAGGTTGCGATGTTGAGAGTTTTGTTTCTTCTTTTCGAAAGAGGGTGGTGGTCTGTAACTCCCGCGGGGACCAGCCGGACTGGGAGATTTTCTGTTGTTTGGTTTTGGTTATTAAGTCTAGTTGAAGTATGTATTAATTTTTTCCGATTTTCCGGGGCAATTATTAGTTTTTTGGAGAATTTAGTTGTGGGTCGGAACTTGCTCGGCTAACATAGTTCAGTATGTTAGGTCTGTTACTAGTTTTGGGTAGGGGTTCTAAAGGGTTGCTTGATGTTTGGTTTGTATTTGCTTTCTTTTGTGCTGACAGTTTGGGAGAATCCGAAGTTCCTCTCTTTCTCTTTTCTCTATTACTGTCCTTTGGGTTTATCACTATCAATTTGTCGTATTTAATGTAAGCAATGTTTCCCTTCTTTTTCTCCTCTTCTAATTTTGGTTGCAGCTGCTTTCTTTTTTCCAGAATTTCCTTGGAAAAATCTTCTTTCACAACAATACCTGGTGGAAGGTTTTTCTTGTTTTTTGTTATCAGATGTTTTTTCCATTGAGTCGTGATGGAGGCTACTACTGGACGATTTTTATTTTCGGTTTGCTTACCGATTCGATATACATTGCTAATTTCCTGTCTGTCCAAGTGTACTCCCATGTCTGATATTAGGTCCTTAATGTAGTCCACTAATTCCCCTTCGGATTTTCCTTTTTCTTCTATACCAAAGAATACCAGGTTATTTTTGCGTTTTTCTCTATCTGCTGCTTTGAGTTTTTGTTCGAGTTCTGATACTTTATTTTTAAGGATATTGTTTTCCTCAATAATTGATTTCATCTTTTCATCTAGCGCTTCCATCACATTTTTAGTTACCGAGTGAGTTATTATTTCGGCTTGTTTCGCTAGTTTCTCGTCAAGTTTTTGAAAAAATATTTCCGAGTTTTTATCCATTTTCTACCAAATAGTTCCTTGATTTGTAATGTGGCAACACTAGAGTCCGGGGATGTTTCTGAACGAACTTTAGATGACGTAAGGTTTTAGGTTGGCACCATTGATTGTCTAATTACGACGGTTGACAGCTCGATTTATTTGACTCTTGGGTTGTAATGCCGAGTAATTTATTTGTGATTCTTCTGTTATGGTTTTCCACTGCACTGTGAATACACTTCGGATGTGATAGTCAGAGTTTATTATGAATGTTTTTTAGTTTATTAGCACTGGTTCGACACTAATTTTCACTGTTTTCGATAAAATTTGACGGAGGCAACTGACGTGCGTGTTCACTGAGAAACCACCGGAAACGGAAAAATAAATGTATTAAATATTGTAAATGATTCGCCCTTAGAAATAATAATCATCATTCCGAGAACGCAACAGTCATTTCGGGAACGTGCCATCATGTCCGGGAACGTTTCCGAAATGACCGTTCCCGAAATGACGATTTCAAATAAGCGCGCGCTTTAATTAGACGGCAGCCACATTAAATGCGATCTGGGTTTGTCAAAATAGNGAGGAGTCGGGCGTGTTGGAGGGCCCGCGCTGCAGCGCCTCCACCAGCCAGTGCAGGCACTTGGCCGCAAGTGAGTGAGTGAGTGAGTGAGTGACTGAGTGAGTGAGGAGTCGGGCGTGTTGGAGGGCCCGCGCTGCAGCGCCTCCACCAGCCAGTGCAGGCACTTGGCCGCAAGTGAGTGAGTGAGTGAGGAGTATTATAACTCACGCGAAGTTGGTCTGCGCCTTGAGGTCCTCTAGCGGCGTGAACTTGTACTGGCGCTTGACGACGCCGAGCAGGCAGGCCGAGTCGGGCGTGTTGGAGGGCCCGCGCTGCAGCGCCTCCACCAGCCAGTGCAGGCACTTGGCCGCCATCTTGGTGCCCATGTTGCGGTCGAAGGGAGTCGGCGAGCCGCCTTGCTGCATGTGACCTGTAGAATATTATTGCTTTTATACTTAACAGTTGGCATTACTGGCGAGTGACAGGATTTTAGGGCTCGCGAGCACGGATAATTTTTGTCGTCTTAACTGTTTTCTCACTCATATCAAGTAAGTATAGACTTGGTGCTTGGTGGTAGCGACGTGACAATGAAACTGTTTTATTACAGTCAACCCGTGCGCGCGCTCCCTTAGTTTACAGTGGCGCAATTCTGGTGAATGTAAATGCGATAGTTCTCCTGATACTTCAGCTCTCACCAGTTTACGTCACCAGCGAGTAACCTTACTCCACAGTGGCGCCAACTGGTGAGGGCGAAATACGATAGCCCTCATTGGGTATACAATAATCATCCTCATCAGGTAATTTAGTCGCCACGTAATCGCTTCGGACCCTGGTACTGACGATGAATATGTACTCGAAGGCCAGATAATATAGATAGAGTTCGTACATTACTAGTGAAAACCGTTATTTTCATCCTAGACCAATAAATAACACCAATTAAATACATAAACATAAACATGTAAATCGCCTTACCAAGCACATTCATCCTGGCCGTAAACAGTCCCTTCCCCTCTTCAGAGTACAGGCGGTAAATGAACTCGGTGTTGTAGTTATCGTTGGCCTTCTCGTTGCGGAGGATGAGGCCGCGCTGGATGCCGCCCGTCATCTTGGACGCCATGTGGTACACGTCCTGCTGCAGATCCTTGATGGAGAACTTCTCCTCGTAGATATAGGCTGCGTCGGCGCCGCCGGCCAGACCTGGTGGATATTTTTTTGAGCAAGGGTGTGAACAATAGGACATAAACACAATAAAAAATAATTGGATATAGGTAGTTTAAAAATTGATAGATTTTCTTCTCACGCTCTATACTTATGTTGATTGTAATAAAGAAAGATGTTCTTAATTTTGGCAACAGGACGACATTTATAAAGTAGACAGTGAATTTACAAGAAAGTTAGCTGAGAAACACTATAACATAATTTATAATAATATAATAATAGTGGTGATAATTAGTAATCACAGGAGCTTTTTTTTTAAACATTTGAAAATATTTTAAAAGGTCCGACTAAACTTTCCATAGTAAAAGATCCATTGCGGATAATCGATGATTCGACTAAAATAGAAAGTTTCTCTATTTTCTTTGAAATGGAACGCGAAAGTTTAAAACCTTATATTGATGAATTGAAGCTTACCTGCCAAAGTGGCCAAATAACCGCAGTATCCGCCCATGGTTTCAATGACGAACACACGGCGTTTAGTACCCTAAACAGAAATGAAACAATAGTAAATATCATGGAGTTGAACACATTATAAGGATATTAACACTTTTTACAATAATTCTACAGTAAATGATTGCCAGAAGATAATTCGGTCAGTTGACACCAATAAACGATGACGTCACAATGTCACAAACCTAATATAATCTTCTTTCATTATGATTTCATATGGTTTTCACATACAGCCAGTATCAAGTTCCACATCTAATTAAAAAAACAAAAGAAAAACATCGTTTTGACATACCATAAAGAAGTTTGTAATACCTGAGCAGACTGACGGATGCGGTCGCAGATCTCGGTGATCTCGTTGAGAGCAGTATCGGCGCCGAGAGAGAAGTCTGTCCCGGGCACGTTGTTGCTGATGGTGGACGGGATGACCACGAGCGGGATGCAGAACTCCGGGAACTGGGCGCGGGACTCGTACAGCTCTAGGCCCGCTTGGTACGCCTAAACCAATATTTAGAAAGGAACTATGTGAAATTAAACTTATATAACACGCTTTTAGAATTTTGATAAATAGTCTGCCATTAATAATATAAGCCTTTATTACTGGATTACAAGGTATTTTACAACATTAACATTTCATTATACAATTTAGCTGCACTCATCTTCAGTTTGTCCTTGGACATAGGCCTCCTCCAATGATCTCCATGCTTCTCTGTTTCTAGCCATTTATGGCCCTGCTAATTCGCGGATATCGTCCTCCCATCTTTTTGCTTGTCTGCCTCTATTTCTTTTTCCTTCACGTCCTTCAGTCTGCCATTAGACACTGGTAATTTTGCAAAGAAATGTAACCGAATCATATTGACACCAAACTGTCTGAAAAGTTACAGTTGATTGAAAGGTAAAATAGTGTTGGCGTTGCGGATACTGATACGTAATTTCAGTTTATAATTTTTTAATTGGTATTTTTTATATTCGAAGACTACTGGCACGAGTTACAGACGAAAAATGGAAAGAGAGCGCTGGTGCAAATTAGTAGCTAGTAACTTTTCCGGAATTAGCCCTCTGATTGAGCTATTGTGCGAACAGAGAGGCGTATCAATAAAATGCTAGTGTACTTCTTATTATGTGTGAGATTTGATATATTTTTTATTTATTTCGATTTTATATCACACTTAATTTTTGACATTTGTCAGATATATTTTTAAGCGATTTCCAATTTCTATTGATTCATCCAGCTTGTAAAAATGAGACAACCTTACCTCAAATCCACCAATGAGCAGCAGCCCTTGAATATTAAACTGCTTGATGCGGGCAGCAATGTCGGCCTTCTTATCGCCAGGCAGGGTGCGCTTGGTGCCGAGGAAGGCGCCTCCTTGGGCTACCCAGCCGGTCACATCAGACCTGTTTGAAGATCGCAATTTAAATATGGTTTATGGTTTAAGACATTTATTTCTCTAAAAGAATTACATTCACTTACAAGAGAAATACAAAATTAACCTTAAAACTATAGATTATTTAAAGTTAAATAATCAAATATTTTAAATATTGTGGTATCTTCTGTCGTTTGTAATAAGTGCGATATTGCAACAAAAATGTATAGTCATTTGTTATAGTAACTGTATAAACAAGATAAAATTAACTTTTAATTTCACAACCAAGTCGAAATATTTTTTGTAGCCTTCACTACTTTTGTCTGTGTTTAATGACAGTGTATTTCAAATGCCGTAATTTGTTTTTTCATTTCTAAGTAAGTAGGTCAGCCGTTTATGGCCATGTAAGGCTACGTTTCCACCAGAAAAAAGAACCAACAGAATCGCTTCATTTACTTCGTCTCGGTAAATGAAGTGACTCTATTGGCTCTTTACAAACACATCCCTCGCTACGCATCCTCGCACATCTCCGGTGGAACCGCTGCCTAAGAGTATCACATGGGAAAAAGCAGCTAACTCCTAGTTTTCTGCTTCTTCTCAGAACTTAACACACAAATATAAAACACTCGTGATCTTTACCAGTCCATCTTGACGATGTTTCCGCTGATCAATCCCTCGATACCGTCGTGGATACCGAGCACGGTGTCTCCGCGATAGATGCAGTTGCGTACGAAGGAACGCACGGCCGCGTTCATACCGCAAGCGGGAGCGCCCACGTGCATCACCGCTAGCGTGTAACCCTCCTACAAAAAGAAAATAGGACATTTTAGGTACGATTTTAACAGTGATTGCCTATGACTAAGCATAAAGAGTGTGCGCGTGTAGGTAGCTATAGTCTGGTCTGTGAGCACATATAATTTTGTCCAATGACCCCAAGCTACCCATCCTTATGGCTCGCGCATAAATTATTATTATGTTGTTGTCGCGCTCGCACACTCACTGCGGGCGCCCGTCGCACAGTCGCGACAGCATTATAATTACGCGCGAGCGATAAGGATGGGTAGCTTGGGGTCATTGGACAAAATTCTACGTGCTCACGGGCCGGGCTTTAGTCATCATCATCATTTCAGCCACAGGACGTCCACTGCTGAACATAGGCCTCCCCCAATGCTTTCCATGTTGATTGATTGGTAGCGGCCTGCGTCCAGCGCTTCCCTGCTATCTTTACGATGTCGTCGACGGATTAGCAAGCTGAAGTGGCAATGGGCAGGTAGCTAGTAGTTTAAAGTAAATTAGACCGTGTGAATACATTAGCTACATTTCATCAACTCCAGATACTAATTAACTACCCTCTGAACTCTGAAGTGAAAGAAACTGTCAAAGAACAGAGGTAAACGCTACTTGGACCTATTCAATTGATGCCATCTCACAGTTTTGCTAGGTATATCTATAAAGTCGTTGTAAGTCAGAGTCGTTGCAAGCAGTTCGCATGAGCAACGTATTGATGACACTTGTAAAGTTTCAGGTCAAATGATTAGTATAATTTATGTATCGGTAATATTGGTCAGCAACATGGCAGCAAAATTGCATGTGATCCCAAGTACGAAAACGAATATAAAACGTAAACACAGGAGGCAAATATTGCTACAACACCATATGAGTTTTCAGGCTGATTTTAGACGTCACACAATCGCAAAATTCTTCGTGATTAAGTAACAATTGCTTGTCCTGACGATGATTAGATAATGTCTATAGCTGGACTTTGACAACAAATAATATTAATTTTAACATTTCTTACACCCTTCAGTCCTATCATAGAATCTTACAGCGGGCTTTCCGGATTGGTCAAACGCTTCCTTGGGCGGCTTCAGGCGGGTCAGCATCTTGTAGGTCTCAAGGTTGCGAGCGAAGCTGCGTCCGCGCAGTTGCACTGCCAGATCCCAGTTCTTGTCAGCCATGGCCTAAAAATATAATAAAAAAATAGGGTACTTGACACAGAACCAAGTATCCACTACTGAGGGACAAGTAGCTCATTTCATCCCAATGTCCACCAGTAGGGGTTAATGGAAAGATTTCAATGGCGTCGTCGCGCACTAGTGAATACAGTAAATTTTTCGCGATGTCAGTAGGTGGGGGCCAACGGGATTAGGCAACAGTTTCTATGTTGAAGAACATATTAATTATGATTTCATTTGTATTGTATGATGTGTCCTTGATAGATCACAAGTAAAATAGATCGATTCTTTTTTTTTAATATTAGTAATTTCTATTGCACAAATTAAATTACTAATAGTCCCGTTAGCCCCTCGTACTAAGCTAAGAGATACCTCCTAACCTACTACAATTTTGATACAAAGATTGGGCATTATATGTTTAAAATAATTATGTATACCTGGGCAACGGCTTTAGTCCTTCGCACGCACTCCATAAGGGGCAGACGCACGGCTTGGTTACCATCCAGGGTCACCACACACGCCGGCGTCGTAGGAGTAGCTTCCATTAGCGCCATTACTGCCTCAGCTCCCATGCGGCAACCCTACATTATTGTTTATAACATAAATTTGTTAAACGCATATTTGTTACGCGTAATTTAGAAGTGTGTTTCTAATTGCCTTTGTTCTAAATTCCTATGTAAATTGTTTGAAGGACATTTAGTTAACTTTTCATAGGGCATTATAGGGCAATCCCATCTTGCAAAAGAGGATTTATCGCCTGTCGACTTTATATTGACATTTTATATTAAAATAATACAAGAATAGATTTAAAGTCCCCCGCGTTACAGTTTTATCTTTTATCAATCGGTTTATTGAACTTTAAATTGATATTGTTTATCACTACTTTATATTAGAATAATACACATAGATTTCTTAACTGCTTAAATTGCTAATTTAGCGTGATTATTTTCAAGGTGAACAACACTGTACTGTAATATCATTCATACCAATTTATCAATCAATTGAATGAGTAACTATTTGGGAGCTCACCAAGATCCTGTCGAAGGCAGATGGCGAGCCTCCACGCTGCACGTGACCCAGCACGGTGATGCGGGTGTCTTGCTGAAGTTTTTCCACCACCACCTTTTTCACCAGCTCGGCGGTGATCGGCTTACCTTCGCGGTCGATCGCACCCTCGGCCACGATGATAATGTTCAATCGTTGGCCAGATTTCCTTTCCTAAACCCAAACAGTTCACATTACATTATATCTTGCTAAAGTTTTCCTAACAAATCTAAACTATCATAACAATAACTGCAACACACTTTTTGCAAAAAACTGAGAATAGTACAAACCATCACCTCATGCAAGTTCAATGTTTTTTAAGAGTTCATTCAAGTAATATGATAAAACACTGTCAATTAATATAATAAAAGAAATATGAAAGATATAAATGAATAAGTTCAACGAAAGATCAGTTTGTTTACCATGAGACCACCAAAGCAGAAGTCCAAAGTGCAAAGGCATAATGTTCCCTATGAGCTTTACTGGAGTTTCGAAATTGTTTAGTATGACCTGCATTATATTTTAAATTATAAGATAAGTATATTAGCAGAAATAAATAGCAGAACCAACACACAATCAAAGCAATCATATTACTTGTAGGCATCAGTGCCAGCATCCTCAATTGTTTCAATGTGAAAACACTGATTGAGATGACATCAGAATATTCAGCAATTGAATAAGATTTTTTGTTAAATGATCTCACCAAACCATGTGACCAGCTTGTTATTAGTTTAAGTGACACTTCATTTAGTTTTAAGTTAATACAAGATTGTGTGTTACATTACAGGGCCACTCAATTAAGCGTTCATACCTGTTGTAATCGTTTGCAAAGCTTTTCAACCCAATTATTGGGAACAGGGTCCTCGGGAATGAATACTTGGTCCGCCTCGCTCGCCAGAGCGGCTACCAATGCCAGATAACTGCAACAAGCAGTTCCCGGTGCTAATGAGACATGCATGAGCCCAAATCACAAGGTGACAATGAAGAATTTTGATGCAACAATTTTGACATGTTACAATTTTAAGGCACAGTAGTAGTATCAATGAAAAATCCAATCCAAAGAAATGAAATGACAAAAGTGAATCCTGCTCCCATATTATGAACAAAATAAAGTCCTTGCCTCTAATATTTTTGCACACAATTTATGTTCCCAATTGAGGGGCGCTGGGTCTTCGCAAATGAAACTATAAGTAGCATCCGTACAAAGGGAGGTGTATACTGCAAGAAAACTAAAATGATATTTGAGTAAGGAAAGAGAACAGTGATTTCAGGCTATACAATAACTCAGCAATCCATAACAACTGACTCATGAGAAGGGCAAGGTGCTTATGAAATGTAGCTTGCCTGTTCTAACTTATCACAGAGTTTAATTTGCCAGTCAACTGAAGGGGGTGCTTCAGGTATAAAGACAAAATCCGCTTCAGATGCCAAAGCCGTGACCACAGCGAGATATCTAAACCAACAAACTGTCATTACATTCCAGCATTATTATAGTATCAAACTTTAGTTAGTTTATTTCAACTCATCAACTGCAACTAACTATAGCCTTAAAAATGTCAAAAAACACCTTTCATGAAACAAAAAACAAAACATAATTATGTAAAACATTTGTGTATAATTTCAGTACTTAAAGTTAATTCATTATACATAAATAGTACAAATAAAAGCAATGGGTTCAAATACCACCAGAGGCAGTAAATTTTAATGTGACAAAATCATGTTTGAAATATACATATAAGAAGTTAATATTGTGATATAACTGTGTAAAATTAATTTCCCTAATTGAAACTTACCCACAGTGTCTACCCATGACCTCCATAATAAATGTCCTCTGATGGGAATAAGCTGTGCTTACAATGGCATCAATAGCTTCAATGATACGGTGCAAGGCAGAGTCCGTGCCTATTGTCATGTCCGTACCACAAAAATCATTGTCAATGGAGCCTACCTGTAATTTAAAATTAATAAACATTTTGTAAATGCATGAGAAACTTCATAAACAAGCTTATATTTTCAAAAGTATATTATTTATTTACCATTCCAGCAATATGCAAAAACTTGTACTTCTCCCTCTGATCTTTAGTAATTTTATTGTTTTCAAGTAAATCATCCAACAAGGTTGACCACTCCTCACGGAACAAGTTGGCTCCAGTTAGAGAACCATCACCACCAATCACTACTAAATTGGTGATACCTCTAGTCACAAGATTGTAGGCTGCTTTCAAGCGACCCTCTTTAGTGCTGAAAATAAGACAATTAATTGAAAAATATTGAAGAATATTTTAGTTAGTTTGCATTATAAAAAAAATTTGAGAAAAAATAATTAACTAAAAAAAACCATTACATTATACCATTAAAAAATGTTAAAGGAACAAAATGATACACTGTTTCATCAAGTTACATAAAATAATTAAAGTTTCATCATAACATCAATAAATTAATACATACATGAAATCCATACAACGTGCCGAGCCAATTATTGTACCACCTTTATGGATGATAGAGCTTACAGATGACCAGTTGGCTTCTTCAATATTGTCTCCGCCATCTACCATACCCTGGTAACCTTCACGAATGAAGTAGACTTTGCATCCCAGGTAAATTCCCATTCGCACTACAGATCTGACTGCTGCATTCATACCCTGGGAGTCACCTCCGCTGGTAAAGACAGCTAAACCTTTTCCTTTATGCGATCCACGCTCAATAAACCTCTGAGTACTTGGATCCATGTTTGAGGGTTCAAAATTACCGCAACACCTTTAAATATAATTATGTATTTACTAGTGCCAGACAATATTCTACTGCACGAATGTATAGGAAATGAGATGAAGAAACATTTATCTCATTTTTAAAGCCTTACGTCTAACGTATTGTACGTACCAAAATAATTTTCGAAATCTTACAAATTTGAATTTGTCTTGAACTTCACCAAGGTGACCTTTCAATGACAGCAATGACAGAAAAGTTTTTTTGACACAATGCTTTTTAATATTTTCTACCAATTTTCCTTGGATCTATATAGAGCTGTTTTAACAATGTTTTACTTTCAAGAAATTTTTTTGGTAAATTAGTTTCAGTGTCTGTTTTTAGCAATAGTTTTTAGCTTTCATTGTTAGTTAAAAAAAACGATTTCAGTTACTTAAAAAACTGTTCGTGTGATTCATTTTATAGAAAACACAAAAAAGAGTTAGTAATGAGCTACTTATTTTTAGTAGAAATTTTAATTATTAGTAGAGCAACATAAAATTGACTTTAGTAGTTTTTCTAATTGCATCGCAAACACATTAGCGTTTTATTATTTACAAAACAAGTAATAGATTTTATTGTTATTTATTTACTCTCTAGTTTGATTCATTCTTAAAATTTGGTGCTTTATGTAATTCCTCTTTTTGTCAATGTTCTAGTGTGCAATAATATTAGCATTTTTCAATCGAACTAACCAAACAAAATGTCTGCTGAATCTGATATGGAATATTCCGACAACGATGGCGATGACTACGACTATTATGGCGAACAGGACGATTGTGATATGGAAGCAGTGGATCGTAGTAAATCTGATCCTGAATATTTTATATATTCCTGTCTCAAAGTGGAAGAGGTAGAAAAGCTGTTAAATGAATCGATTGAATTGCTCAGCAACAGCCTTCAAGTTACGCCTTCACTTGCCAAGGTTTGTATAATTTTAGGCTCAATATAATGTGTTAATTGTTTTTCACGGTGAATTCCTGAAGTTTGTGTATGTTGCAGGTAATGCTACATGCATATGAATGGAATGCTCAAGAGATAATAAATAAGTATAAGGAAAATGCGAACGAAGTGTTGGTTTATAGTCGTGTGAAGCCCCGTGTGGCCTCGCTGCTGCAGGCCAGCGCAAGTCGTGCTGTCTGCGCCGTGTGTGCGAACACTCCTCCTATTCATAAATACAGTGCTTTAGCTTGTGGACATTATTTTTGCAATGACTGTTGGGCTATGCACTTTGAAGTACAAATTATGCAAGGTGAGAGATATACCATAAAACTTGCATCTTCGTATTTCTTAGCTAGATGATNGTGATGATTTATGTCCCACTTCATAAGTACTTCGAGCTGTACTTTTAGCTGTTTTAAATTTTTCGTATACCTATGTTTATGCACATTTTAGGTGTGTCAAATACCATACAGTGTATGGCTCAAGATTGTGAAGTACGGGCTCCTGAAGACTTTGTTATATCTCATGTTCCAAAATCAACACTGCGTGAACGCTATCAACAATTTATGTTTAAGGATCATGTGAAATCTCATCCACAACTAAGATTTTGTCCAGGACCTAATTGTCAGGTATAATTTAATTGTTTGATGGTATAACTAGCAAATATTTTAAAAATTTATAAATAGTACTCTAAGTCAATTATGTTATTATCATTATTGTAGTGGATTTTCCGTGCGTGGGTGCGTGAAGGTGCTCGCCGTGTAGAATGTCGTGGCTGTGAACTGCTGACATGTTTTTCATGTGGAGCTCCTCATCATGCTCCTACTGATTGCTCTACGATCAGACGTTGGCTGACCAAATGTGCTGATGATTCAGAGACTGCTAACTATATCAGTGCTCACACCAAGGTAGGTAAAAGCACACGGAAAATAGAACTTAACTGCAATTTTTCATTAATTTGTTGAAATGTTTTCCAAATCGTATTTTACAGGAATTTACCAGAAAAATAAGTAGAGTTATTGGAAATTTCGCCTGTACCCAGTATCATACAGGATGAAATAGAATTTGTTTTTTATTATTATTATGTATTTGTTTTACAGGACTGCCCTAAATGTCAGATTTGCATAGAAAAAAATGGTGGCTGTAATCATATGCAATGTGGAGCTTGTAGATTCGACTTCTGCTGGGTTTGTTTGGGTGACTGGAAGGCGCATGGCTCGGAATATTATGAATGCAGTCGTTATAAAGAAGACCCTAATTTGGCCAATGATAGTCAACATGCTCAAGTATGACTCCCAGCCGACTACAACTTTTTGTTGGCCGATAGTTGGGTCCGATTCTAATTTGTATAAAGAACGACACCAATGTGCGCACTTGCATACTTGTTCATACTGATTAACAACCCGACCGAACTATCGGCCAACAAAAAGTCTGTATGCGGTTAGGCTAAGTGTATTATGTGTATAGCCTACTTATATCCATATCCATACCTAAATTAATTTATTTTTTGTAGGCACGAGAAGCTCTTAAAAAATATTTACATTACTATGAGAGATGGGAAAATCATGCTCGATCTTTGAAATTGGAAGAACAGACTTTAGCTAGTCTCAAAAGTCGCATTAATCAAAAGGTATGTAGGTACTGCTATTTTCTAAATGAAACTTAGCTATTAATCGAAATGAAACTTACGTTATACATAATTTTACCCAATATTTCAGGTTATGGCAGGAGAGGGTACTTGGATTGACTGGCAGTACCTATGGGACTCCGCTAGGCTCTTGAAACGCTGTCGCTACACCCTCCAATATACTTACCCATTTGCATATTATATGGAAGTTGGACCTAGAAAAGAACTGTTTGAATATCAACAGGTTTGTTATTGCATTTTGTCATTATGTTAATAATATTCATTGGTGTCTAACTAATGACTATACTATTTTATTAAGATTGTAAGTGATTTGGTCATAGTTAAATAAATAAAAATAGTGAATAATACTGTCAAACATGCTTTGTTTACTTAACGAGTAAACAATTGATATAGTTAACTGAAGTATACTTTGTAATCTACTATTGCTCATTAGTTGTATGTACTTGTATCTATTTAAGTTTTATTTTGTGTTTCAGGCTCAATTGGAAGCTGAAATAGAAAATTTATCATGGAAAGTAGAAAGAGCAGAGACCACTCATAGAGGAGACTTAGAAAATCAAATGGATATAGCTGAAAAGAGACGTACAACATTATTGAAAGACTTTCTAGAGTTGAATACAAACTTTGCCTCCAGTAGCAGTAAGGTGTAAATAACCAGAAATCTCGAAACCTTAATAAAACGCATTTATAACCATAACTAAGAACATCAACCAGCATGTTGTTTATGTACTTGTGAAAGCTAGATTTTTTGTTCTGCCAAAGTATATTTATTAACATTAAATTTGCAATAAAATAGTGAATAATTAGTGTGTTTGTTTTAATTCCCTGATAAATTGTCATTAAATTAAATAGGAACAACTTGGGCTGTTCGGGCATTCACTGTAAAATCACGTCTTATGTAAAGCCTGGTCTGTGAGGACGTAGAATTTTGTCCAATGACCCCAAGCTACACATCTTTGTCGCTCGCGCGTAATTATGTTGCTGTCGCGCTCGCACACTCAATTGAGGGCTATCGTTTTAGCGCCACTGTAGAGTAAGGTCCTGTCACTTGCTAGTAGCGAAGACAGTGGCACCAACTGGTGAGTGAGCGCGAAAGTGGTAGGAGGACTATCGCATATTTGCACTCGTCAAGATGGCGCCACTGTAGAGTAAGGTCCTGTCAATCGCCAGGGGTGCCAACTGTTAAGTATTAAAACGATAGCCCTCAGCGATAAGGATGGGTAGCTTGGGGTCATTGGACAAAATTGTACGTGCTCACGGACCTGAGCCCCGATTACGGTAACTTTTAACGTCAACAATCCAGACACGCTTCTCGATTCTGCGATACGATTGGTCAAAACAGCTGACGTACGCTGTTGAACGACCAATCGTATCGCAGAATCGAGAAGCGTGTCTGGATTGTTGACGTTAAAAGTTACCGTAATCGGGGCTCAGGCTTTAGAGGCATTCACAGATATGGATTCATAGATTCACATATCTGTGGAGGCATTTATACCGGAAATACCTAATTGTGAAAATTTTATTGTGACTTCCGGTCTGAACTTTAGGTTAAAAAAATTATAAAACAACACTGCCGTTTAAATGAAAGTAGGTACTAAATAGGTTCAATTTTTTTTAATACTACAGATGAGTGATTACAGGAAGTTTACAAATAAATTAATTTATAGGTTTAGGTTTAAAGAACTTTATTCTCATAAGAAAATTACAGTTCACTTATACATAATAGTAAGATAAAATACAAAATTAATACTATCAACTTACTAATAAACATTTTAAACAATATTTAGTTAAGTATTCCAAGGTGCTTGCTTAAATAATGAGCTTAGTCAGTCAGCCACTTTTACCACATTAGTCTTATTATTTGCATATTATACTTCTGTATTTAATTATTCTATGATTGAGCTAACGAGCTATAGGGTTTACTAAAGTTAAATAGTAGTTTTATATTTTTTTATTATGGCAATACCAAGCTAGTATATCAATCAAAACCTCTACTTGTCTATGGTCAGTCGTCAGTGGCCATTAAAATGGCTACCACGAACGATTCGAAGGCGCCTGTGCGCCAAGTAAAAAGAGTGCAATTTGGTATATTATCACCAGATGAAATCGTAAGTTGTTTATTTATTACATCTATGATGTAATTAATTAATTATTTGCATGAAAACAAAACCATGTAATGTCTAACACGTTGAGGAAAAAGCTCATGTAAAGTGGCACGCAGTTATTGTTCTGTGCTGGCTTGTAATAATATTGTGAAGGCTACACACTACATAACTTTACTTATAATAACTAAACGATACCATTACATGGATTTGATTTTGTAAGCAAAACTCGTGTTAGTTTTGTGACTCAATGTTACTCAATAGTAGGTATGTGCGTGGTATTTCCCCAAAGTAAGTTTGAGATAACATTACTTTCCAGCGACGTATGTCAGTTACGGAGGGGGGCATCCGCTTCCCCGAGACGATGGAAGGTGGTCGTCCAAAGTTGGGTGGCCTTATGGATCCTCGACAAGGGGTGATTGACAGGAGCTCCCGATGTCAGACATGTGCAGGAAATATGACTGAGTGTCCTGGGCATTTTGGACACATTGATTTAGCTAAACCAGTCTTTCATATTGGTTTCATCACAAAAACAATAAAAATACTGAGATGTGTATGCTTTTATTGTTCGAAGTTGCTTGTCAGCCCAGTAAGTATACAAATAAATAACCTTATCATTCAGATGTTTAGTTACAACAACATGTTGATCTTGGTACTTAACCTTAAGAATTTTTGATACTGTGTATAATTAGGCTGGATTGTAATGAATTTTTGTGAATGAATAATGCCATTGCATTATTCCTTTAGATCAAAAAAGAAATTGACCTTGCCTTGACATACACTGTTCTATTTACTTATTGAGATTTCAAATATTTTCCAAAAATATCAATGACATGAGTTGGTTCCACTTTCTTTGCCTTCATAATTTTGGAACCTCATGCATGATGCAATATTATTTCAATTAATGTGACCTTTCACTTTTGTTGATGTCTATTTTAAATTGCTGTTCTAGTTCATATTGTTGTACAAAACAATACTATTCATATTTAGTTTATGAACTGAATTTAATTATGTTAGCAATTATATTTTGATTGTTTATTTTAGACAAATCCAAAGATAAAAGAAGTGGTTATGAAATCAAAAGGACAGCCACGTAAAAGACTGACTTACGTCTATGACTTATGTAAAGGCAAAAACATTTGCGAAGGAGGTGAAGACATGGACTTAGGAAAAGAGGGTGAAGAAGGTAAAAGAGGCTCCGGTCATGGCGGTTGCGGTCACTACCAGCCTTCCATCAGACGGCAAGGGTTAGATCTCACAGCAGAATGGAAACATGCAAATGAAGACACACAGGAAAAAAAGATTATAATTACTGCAGAGCGAGTGTGGGAAATTCTCAAACACATAACAGGTGTGTTGGTACTGCTCAATCTAACTTATTTATTGCAAAATGATTAATATCATGCTTATGTATATTATGTATTAGGGTTGCCAACTAGCAAGCATAGAATTCACCTTTTTCTTCAGAAGTCACCACACAGTACATATTTGTTTCCATGGCATGGCATGGCACACATAATATGGTGACAACAAAACTACCATATGTTTTAATTTAGGTTACTTGGAAAACTACAATGTAACCTAAATTAAAACATATGGTTGGCAACCTTACATGCAATTAAAATGTATTTTCCTTAAACAAGTATTTTTGCATTCTTAACCTTGTTGATAAGTTGTAAACTGACATATTTTTCTCAATTTATAGATGAAGAATCCTTCATACTGGGTATGGACCCTAAATTTGCAAGGCCCGATTGGATGATCGTAACAGTGCTCCCAGTTCCACCACTGTCAGTAAGGCCTGCAGTCGTTATGTTTGGGGCTGCTAAAAATCAGGATGACTTGACACACAAACTTGCTGACATCATCAAATCAAACAATGAATTGATGCGAAATGAACAGTCAGGAGCAGCAGCTCATGTCCTGGCTGAAAATATAAGAATGCTACAGTTTCATGTTGCCACTTTTGTCGACAATGATATGCCTGGAATGCCAAGGTAAGTCTATAATATCTATAAAATGACTTATTGTTTATGAGTTTCCAAGAATATTTCTAAAATTCATTATCTCTTTCAGGGCCATGCAGAAGTCTGGAAAACCACTCAAAGCAATTAAAGCCCGTCTGAAAGGAAAAGAAGGCAGAATCAGAGGAAACCTGATGGGAAAACGTGTAGATTTCTCTGCACGTACTGTAATCACGCCCGACCCGAATTTACGTATTGACCAAGTAGGAGTGCCCAGGTCTATTGCACAAAATTTGACCTTCCCAGAGTTGGTCACTCCTTTCAACATTGACAGAATGCAAGAACTTGTACGGCGTGGTAATGCTCAGTACCCAGGTGCCAAATACATTGTTAGGGAAAATGGAGAGAGGATAGATTTGAGGTTTCATCCTAAGCCATCAGATTTACATCTGCAATATGGCTACAAAGTGGAAAGGCATCTGAGGGATGATGACCTTGTAATCTTCAACCGTCAACCTACTCTGCACAAAATGAGTATGATGGGGCACAGAGTTAAAGTGCTACCATGGTCCACATTCCGTATGAATTTGAGTTGTACTTCTCCATACAACGCTGATTTTGATGGAGATGAAATGAATTTACATGTGCCACAGTCTATGGAAACCAGAGCTGAAGTAGAAAATATTCATATAACTCCACGACAAATTATTACGCCACAAGCTAACAAACCCGTCATGGGTATTGTACAGGACACATTGACTGCTGTAAGGAAAATGACCAAGAGAGATGTATTCTTGACCAAAGAACAAGTAATGAATCTTCTCATGTTTTTGCCAACATGGGATGGTAAAATTCCACAGCCTTGCATTTTGAAGCCTCAACCACTTTGGACAGGCAAACAGATATTTACTTTGATCATTCCTGGAAATGTAAACATGATTAGAACCCACTCTACTCATCCAGATGAAGAAGATGATGGACCATACAAATGGATTTCACCCGGAGACACAAAAGTAGTTGTGGAACATGGAGAACTACTTATGGGTATTTTGTGTAAGAAATCACTTGGTGCCTCAGCAGGGTCTCTGCTTCACATCTGCATGTTGGAGTTGGGTCATGAAACTGCTGGACGATTTTATGGTAACATTCAGACTGTAATCAACAATTGGCTTCTATTAGAAGGCCATTCAATCGGAATCGGAGACACAATTGCTGATCCCCAAACCTATTTAGAAATTCAGCGAGCTATCATCAAAGCTAAAGATGATGTCATAGAGGTCATTCAAAAAGCCCACAACATGGAGTTGGAGCCCACTCCTGGTAATACACTGAGACAGACATTCGAAAATCAAGTAAATCGTATCCTAAACGACGCTCGTGACAAAACTGGTGGTTCTGCTAAGAAATCTCTGACAGAATATAATAACCTCAAGGCTATGGTGGTGGCAGGTTCCAAAGGATCCAACATTAATATTTCTCAGGTTATTGCTTGTGTAGGGCAACAAAACGTTGAAGGTAAACGTATTCCGTTTGGTTTTCGTAAGAGAACACTGCCCCACTTCATCAAAGACGACTATGGTCCTGAATCTAGAGGTTTCGTAGAAAACTCGTATCTTGCCGGCCTGACCCCATCTGAATTCTATTTCCACGCTATGGGAGGTCGTGAAGGTCTTATCGATACTGCCGTGAAGACTGCTGAAACAGGATATATCCAGCGTCGTCTGATAAAGGCTATGGAGTCTGTAATGGTCCATTATGACGGAACAGTCCGTAACTCTGTTGGGCAACTGATCCAGTTGAGATACGGCGAAGACGGTCTCGCCGGTGAAACTGTCGAGTTCCAGAATCTTCCCACTGTTAAACTGTCTAACAAAGCTTTTGAAAAGAAATTCAAATTCGACCCATCTAACGAGAGGTACTTGAAGAGAATTTTCAATGAGGATATCATCAAAGAGCTCACAGAATCTGGATACGTTATTGCAGACCTTGAAAGCGAATGGGAACAGCTATGCAAAGATCGAGAAATCTTGCGACAGATTTTCCCTAGTGGTGAATCTAAAGTTGTATTGCCATGCAACTTCAAGAGAATGATTTGGAATGTGCAAAAGATCTTCCACATCAACATGAGGATGCCCACAGACTTGAGCCCCATTAAAGTGATCCAAGGAGTGAAAGATCTTCTGAAGAAGTGCGTGATCGTAGCTGGAAATGATCGTTTGTCGAAGCAAGCTAATGAGAACGCGACATTGCTTTTCCAGTGCTTGGTCCGGTCTACTCTGTGCACCAAGTTTGTGTCAGAGGAGTACAGGCTTTCAACAGAAGCTTTCGAATGGTTGATTGGAGAAATCGAAACTAGATTCCAGCAGGCGCAAGTAAACCCTGGCGAAATGGTCGGTGCGTTGGCTGCCCAGTCTCTCGGAGAACCAGCTACCCAGATGACACTGAACACCTTCCACTTTGCTGGTGTGTCATCCAAAAACGTAACTCTCGGTGTGCCGCGTCTAAAGGAAATCATCAACATTTCCAAGAAACCCAAGGCTCCTTCTCTAACCGTATTCTTGACTGGAGGTGCAGCCAGAGATGCCGAGAAAGCTAAAAACGTTCTCTGCCGACTGGAACATACCACATTGCGCAAAGTGACAGCAAACACTGCTATCTACTATGACCCTGATCCTCAAAATACAGTTATTGCTGAAGATCAGGAGTTCGTCAATGTTTACTACGAAATGCCGGACTTTGATCCCACTAAAATTTCGCCGTGGCTGTTGCGTATTGAATTAGACCGCAAGAGAATGACAGACAAGAAATTGACTATGGAACAGATTGCAGAAAAGATCAATGCAGGGTTTGGAGATGACTTGAATTGCATCTTCAATGACGATAATGCCGAGAAGCTGGTATTGCGTATAAGAATTATGAACAATGAAGACAACAAATTCCAGGACAATGACGAAGAAACCGTAGACAAAATGGAAGACGACATGTTCCTCCGGTGCATTGAAGCCAATATGTTGTCTGACATGACACTCCAAGGAATTGAGGCCATTGCTAAAGTATACATGCATCTGCCTCAGACAGAAGCTAAAAAACGAATCGTCATCACTGAGCAGGGTGAATTCAAAGCCATCGCTGAATGGTTGTTGGAAACTGACGGTACATCTCTGATGAAAGTATTGTCTGAGCGCGACGTCGATCCCGTTAGGACTTTCAGTAACGACATCTGTGAGATATTCACAGTACTGGGAATAGAGGCTGTCCGAAAATCAGTAGAGAAAGAAATGAACGCTGTGCTGCAGTTCTACGGTCTTTACGTGAACTACCGTCATCTCGCTTTGCTTTGTGACGTCATGACTGCTAAAGGTCATCTTATGGCTATCACTCGTCACGGTATCAACAGGCAAGACACTGGTGCCTTGATGAGATGTTCATTCGAAGAAACAGTCGACGTACTTTTGGACGCTGCAAGCCACGCTGAAGTCGATCCTATGAGAGGCGTGTCTGAGAACATTATTATGGGTCAATTGCCCCGTATGGGAACCGGTAAGATTTTTTTCTTTGATATTCTAGTAACATTGATTTGTATAACGTGTTGCTTTAAATTTACTTAATTTTGTATATTCTAAATGCCGTTTCTTTGGTTTCAGGATGCTTCGATTTACTTCTCGACGCTGATAAATGTAAACACGGAATGGAAATGGGAGGATTAGGCGTCGGAGTCGCGGGCGGCATGTACTTCGGTGTCGGCACCCCGTCGATGACGCCACTCATGACGCCCTGGTCGACGCAGAACACTCCGGGATACGGCAGCAGCGTGTGGTCTCCAGGACAAGGTAAACACATAATCGTTCGTTCGTTAGTTTCAGCCGAAAGACGTCCACTTCTGAACAAAGGCATTCCCCAAGGATTTCCACACAAACCGGTCCTGCGCCGCTCGCATTTAGGCACCTCCCGCGACCTTCACCAGATCGTCGGTCCACCTAGTGGGAGGCTTGCCCACGCTACGTTTTCCGGCTCGTGGTCGCCACTCAAGAACTTTCCTGCCCCAGCGGCCATCAGCTCTACGAGCTCTGTACCCCGCCCACTGCCACTTGATTTTAGCGATTTTGCGGGCTATGTCAGTCACTCTGGTTCTCCTACGGATCTCCTCATTTCTGGATCGATCTGAAACACATAATAATAAATCCTTTTTTACTTTTTTTTCTAAATGAATTGGTTTGGAAAAAATATTTAAATGATTTGGAATGAATTGAGCATCAGTACTGAACATGCAACTTTGTTTCCAGTCGGCAGCAGCATGACTCCCGGCGGGCCGTCGTTCTCGCCGTCCGGAGCGTCGGATGCTTCAGGGCTGTCGCCGGCGTACAGCGCGTGGTCGCCGCAGCCCGGCTCGCCCGGCTCGCCCGGCCCGCCGCTGTCGCCCTACGCCTCGCCCGCCGGCGCCTCGCCCTCGTACTCGCCCACCAGCCCCGTGTACGCGCCCGCGTCGCCCAGCCTCACGCCCACGTCCCCGCACTACTCGCCCACCAGCCCCTCCTACTCGCCCACCTCGCCCAACTACTCGCCCACGTCCCCGATATATTCGCCCACGTCCCCCAGCTACTCGCCCACGTCGCCCGGCTACTCGCCCACGTCGCCCTCGTACTCGCCCACGTCGCCGAGCTACTCGCCGACCTCGCCGAGCTACTCGCCCACGAGCCCGGCCTACTCGCCGACCTCTCCCAGCTACTCGCCCACTTCCCCCAGCTACTCGCCCACGAGCCCCTCGTACTCGCCGACGAGCCCGTCGTATTCCCCCACCAGTCCGTCGTACTCGCCCGCGTCGCCGGGCTACTCGCCGTCGTCGCCCAGCTACTCGCCGACCAGCCCGGTCTACAGCCCAACCTCGCGCAGCTACTCTCCGTCGTCGCCTAACTATACGCCCACGTCGCCCGGGTACTCGCCGACCAGTCCCTCGTATTCGCCCACTTCGCCGACTTACTCGCCGACTTCGCACAGCTACTCGCCGTCCTCTCCGAAGTACTCGCCGACGTCGCCCAATTACTCGCCCAAGTCGCCGTCGCTCGCCGGCACCAGCCCCAACTATTCGACGCCGACGAGCCCGCAGTACTCGCCGACGAGCCCGGCCTACTCGCCGTCGTCGCCGCAGCACCCGGGCAGCACGCGCTACTCGCCGTCGTCGCCGAACTATTCGCCGTCGTCCCCGAACTACTCGCCGTCGTCTCCGGGCTACTCGCCGTCGTCCACCAAGTACTCGCCCACATCGCAGACGTACACACCGACGTCGCCCAATTACTCGCCGTCGTCGCCGGCCTACTCGCCGTCCTCCGCTGGGCCCTCTACATATTCCCCCAATTCTCCGTCGTACACTCCGACTTCACCCAATTACGATGATGGCGACGATTAAACGGCTTTTTAGTGACCTATTTTTTCTTGATTATAATAATAATCGATATTGTTACAAATGAAGTAATGTACTGAACGCGATGTTTATAAGCTTGTAAGTAGAGCATATCAATAATGTAATCATTATAAAAATCCATTATACAATTTATGTAATCTAAGTAAACCTGTTTTGTTACCTTGTTACGGTTCAGCATTTGTGATGTTTCACTTCTCATTTATCTTTATTTTTTAAGGTAATTATAATTTAATATTTAGAGTAATAAAAACATAAAAAAATTAATCTTAAGTGATTTTATCATTCTTACCGATGATAGTGCCCGTGCGAAAGACGGTTTCCAAATTCGTATTTTATAAATATGCTCCAAGACTTCTTGAACTTGACCAAAAATGACTTTAAATGAAAATAATTACATGTTGTTAATAAATGTTTATGAATAAACAATACGTATATTTTTAAGGCTATTTATTACTATTATATTGCCTGCAGTTTCTTCCATATCCGCGCCTCTAAAGAATTTTGCATCATTTACTGACTTAAGTGGTATTTCCAGAACGGACTTGTTTTAATTATTTCCGTACATTGCTAATTTGTTTTGGACGCGTTATATCATTAACGCCATTGGTCATGTTTTTATGACAAAAAGACGTAATTATATAATCTATTTTTTTAATTAATTGCATCAAAATCCCCGCACCAAACGGATCCAGGATTTTATGCATAACAAGATATATTTGACCGCAATCGAAATTTTATCTAAAATCTCTTCTAAAAATGTACACCTTTCCGTTGCCTGGGATCAAAGGCGGGAGAGAGAAACCTATAAGATGTCATTTACACAGAATATAAATTACGATTACATTTACGAATTTAGAAATTTATGTACCTAATTATATTTAACTTTAACTATTTTAGCTTAGTGTCTAGTATTTTCTAATTTTCATCATAATCCCTCTTTTCCACTTCCCGTTTCCACGTGAACGTCGAACATGAAAAAATAACCTTCATAATCTTTTAGTCCCATTTTTAACTGTATGGTAAATTTTTTGGTATTATTTTCGAGTTTAGTTTACAAATTTCAATCGTGAATTAAAATTACAAATTCATTGCATTATCATTTAAAAAAAAATTGAATACCTAACTAAAATCAGAGACACATTTACGTAAGAAAGTGTCATATTTTAGCTTGTAATCCCTAATAAAAAAAAAAAAGATTTGATGCAAACGAACACTAACGATTTTTCTTAGGTAGTAGACCATTGCGTTTTAATATACAACTCTGTATTTGAAATTTAAAACCATGTTAGCCTAGGCGCAGACCACTGATTTTTAGTTGGCCGATAGTTGGGTCGGGCTGAATCAATATGGAGATGTATGAAAGTGCGCACATTACACCGATTTGCTATCGGCCGATTCTTCATACAAATTAAAATCGGGTCCAACTATCGGCCAATTAAAGGTCGGTGATCTGCGCCTAGGAGTATTATATTATCTGTGGCCTAGGCTAACAAATACGTATGTTAATAATAGGTAAATGTGATCTTATTCGGACGGTCACATACTTAAGTAGCTCATTTTATTTGTTTAAGGGTAGGATATAGTGTCATTTATTCTGTAGTTTATAATAGTCCCTACATTACATAATGTCGCACCATGGAATTCAATCAACATTTGATGGATTGATAAAACACTTGTCTCACATATTATAGTGAACATATAAGTAGATCAGTTAATAGTGTATCTTAGAATGTATTCAATTTTTTAACTATTAAGGCTTGATATTGAAGTGTCTAATACTCGATCACGAAAATGCTATCGAAAGAGATGCGCTCACGTTTGCAACCTTACTTACTAGAGAAACCAAACATTTGGTGTAGAGCACTTCTCTCTATTTTTCTTCTGCGTACATACATTTTATATTGTAAAACATACCATTCAATGTGAAGGATTTAAATAAATGAAATATACTGGAATATGAATTGTTTCATTTCATCTCATGTGGGTGAAAAAAACTAACTAAGCAGAAGACAAACATTAGACGCCATTAATTTATTTAAAGAAGGAAATATAAATAAGTACGTCTTTTTATTTAATTCAATTTATTATGAAATCGGTTCTAACAGTTAATATTACTTAGCCCGATACAAAATGCCATTGAAATCTTAATTAGTGTGTTATAGTTTTGGAAGATAAGTTCTGCTTGAGTGCATTTTGTGTATTACTTAACTACGTAGGTTACATTTGAATTAAACTAGTACTATTCTTATAATTTAATTAACAAAACGTTAAATTTTAAGAAATATTTAACAGAAACAATGTCTTGAGCGATTTGAGCTAGAAAACACAGTAATTTTAAAAATATATGTATAAAGAGGAACCAATTCTGTGAATTGGTAAAAATAATGAGGATTTATCCGATTTCTTTAAAATATTGTAAACTATTTACAATGAGGCTTAACTAACATGAACAATATTATGTTGTTAAAATACAAACTTACATCAACTTATACACCCGTAACTATTGTGCTTTTAATTCTCGAACACAGCCATTTTAGTTTCTATAAGTTACTGTCCAATTAATCTACTTCTTACACATTTATGTATTACTAATACGTAGAAGATAGAGAATAGACTCACTAAAGAAAATACAAAATTAGTATACGCATGAGCAAAAATATGTTACTTTTCAGGAAGAGAGACATAGGCTTGGTACTTTTAGTGGTTATGTACCTACACTCGACAGCAAATAAATCGCACCACCCGCGACGCGATCTTTAAAGATTTTCTTTTGACACAATAATGGTGCCCCAACAATATTGGTGTTATTTGAAAGCCCAATAACTATCCTTAAAGAAAAACACATTTAATTTCTTTTTTTTTATTACCATATTCCATAAATGTGACTTGAAAAAAGACCTCACTTTGGGCTCACCTCTGGGATCAATTAGACCAAATTTTATGGTTATAAAACCAAATAATGATCACACGTGTCCTCTTTAACAGATGGATAGCGATTAATCCCAACTTAACAGTTTTATAGTTATAAAAAATGGCTATAGCGTAACTACCTATTTTTTGAAGAAGTGACTCTGGATCCTTGTAAAGACACATTTTTGGGGTTTAAACCTTTCCTTTAATAAAATGAAGTTTAGAACTAGGCTTTTAAATGGTGCCAATATTGGTGGTAAGTAGGGATGCATACGTTTGAAAATGCTTGTCGCGGGTGGTTCGATTTATTTGCTGTCGAGTGTATCTACCCAGATATTTATTTTAATTGAAAATTCAAATAATTCAACAGAAATTTAACCTAAAACTCTACCTTGGCAAGCATACATTTCAAATTAAAGATTTCCATTCTTTAATTTTCCTGTAGTAGGTGGATGACTTCTTTTACTTTACTCTTACTCCTTAAAAATAATACTGGTATGGAAGCCTAGATTGAAGCCGTATTGGAGAGAGATTCCTTACTTCCCTCGATAAATTTCGATGATTCGATCCTGGTCGACGTACTCGAAGATGTGCGGCGCGTCCATCAAGATGCCGACCGTTCCCGCCGTGGTGACGATGAAGAAGATGTAAAGTTGTAGTCTGTCGATCACCATAGCCACGTATTTCCAATCCTCGCGCGTCTGGAAAGTTGTAAGGTACCTAAGTTACTACCATGAAGTAGTTGTGTTGGTTGGAGCTGCCATAACAGGCATTTGCCTTGGTTTTATTTTTACTATCTCTATTGGTGGCAATAACCGGTACTTGTTTCTACCAAGGAACGGACAAATACTTATTTACCGGAAGTAGGTAATCTCGTACTTATAATACTCTAGAGTTTAACGATGAATGGAAAATACTAGAGTCGTACTACCTTAATGTCAGTGAATAAAAAAGAAACTTACCTGAATGTACAGGTCTTCATTCCTCAAATGCTCTGCAATAAACTCTACAGCTTCAGTCGCTTTAGCTGCTTCAGGCGACAGGAGCAGTGAGTCTGAGCTCTCGGACTCCCGTCTCTCCCCGCCTAGGCCCAAGCCCCCAAGAGCTCCCAGGCCGCCTAGGGCTCCGACTTCACCACCTCCACCGGCTGCGCGGTTAATCTTGCAGTTTGGATGGTGAAGATCCGATAGTTCCATCGCTTCCATCTTACTCTGTTTAGCGCCAATAGCACTGAAAATTAAACACAAGGTAAGAATGAAAGTAGGTAGTACCTAAACCTGAAAATTGTATTTTACTCATTTTTTATTTTTAAGTAGGTATAGGTACAAACGGTAACACACGTCAAGCTATATTATTGCGAGATCGTACCCATAATAGGGCATACCAGTTAGTACCACAGTGTCTTACTTAACTACTTATTTAGGTAGGTAAGTTTACTTAAAGATATGAATTAAAACTAACCTTATGTGCTTTGGTAAATCATGGGGTGCAGCAGCGTGGGGCGGAGCGCCCATGCCAGGCATCTCCATCATCCAGCGTAGGCGCGTCTTGCGCGGCCGCCGCATGAGCAGCGCTGCGGGCAAGTAATGCAGGAAGACGCTCCGTATCCACAGGGGCATCCTGAGAACATAATGATTCGCTAAGGCTTTTGCATAACAGGTCCTATAAATATTTAAAACATTACTGTTAGCAGCTGTGTAGCGGTTTAATATCACCACGGTGGATATCTATCAGCCTTAGAAGATTTATTTATAGTAATTCCAAAAGATAACGTATTTTAATTTATGTACCAGTACTTAGTCGAGCATTGGTGAGTTGCGTGAAGTTTATTGTGTCTCTTTAGATATGATTCAACTTACATTTTTGTAAATACGACGTTTAAATCAGCGACACTTTCAATTTCATGATACAAAAGTGATAAATATTAGTGTACCTGTGTGTCCTTGGACCTCTGAAGTTCCAGTTGATGATGATGACAGTTACAAGAATACTGACGGTGTTCATGATGAATGTGAAGAGCAGATACTTGGCTATCAGAGGCAACACGAGCGAAGTCGGCGGAAGAATCTTTGACACCAGTAGCAGGAACACAACCAGTGACAGTAAAATGCTGATACCCAAAGTTACCTGAAAGATAAATGTATTAAACAAATTGAATTCTGAATTGAAAACAGCATTTCATGGCAGATGCAAGGTAAAGTATTACCTTTTCACCAGCTTCAGCAGGCAGATAGAATACGAGGACGCAAAGGAACGAAATCAAAACAGTAGGCAGAATCAAGTTCACAGTGTAGAACAAAGTTTTCCGTCTGATGATGATGTAAAATGTAATATCAGTTTCGGTGGGGTGGTTTCCCTCATAAATATTCAAGTAAGCCGGTACTTCGATTATATCCCACGTTCCCGATTTCCAATAATCGGAGAGATCCACGAAATTCTTGTTGTTGTACAGCGCGAGTGACACTTGATCTCCGTTGAACGTCCACGACCCGAACTTCATAATACAAGTTTGCTGGTCGAACGGGAAGTATGTCACGTCAATAGTGCAAGAACTCTGCAATATAAACATAAATACATACAGTACCTAGTTAGCTCGTGTATTAAAGATAAGGTTAAAATAATACCTATCGAATATTTATTACCTGATAAATGGCAGGTGGTACCCATAGCACTTCGCCGTTTGGATATATGAGAACGTTAGATTTATATCGCACCTCGTAGTTACCGTCAGCGCTGTAACAAATACAGGGCCGGATTAACCATATCGGGGCCCCTAGGCACAGCTCGTTTCGGGCCCCCTTTTTTTCGTTCGTTTCGGGCCCCTGTCCACAACAACGCAATTTGGAAATTTTTACTGTCTACATTACGAAATAGAATGAAGGTTTTTTTTATGCATAACAAGGCAGTTATTTGACCACAATCGCACCTGATGTTAAGTGGGATGCAGTCTAGGATGGTACATATCTGCCCTGTAAGTGCCTATTCACTCTCGCCTTGAAAAGGCCCGGATTATAGTCTTCGGGAAAGACAGCAGCAGGCAGCGAATTTTATTCCAGTCCCTAGCTGTTCGCATTATAAGTCATTGAGACGCTTAGTGCGAGCTGGTGGAATGTCAACAATATAGGGATGGTACGCTAACCTGCGTCTGGTTCCCCGATGATGGAAGGGGTCTGGTGGAATTAGTTTGTGTAATTATTTCTCACATTCTCCGAAGTGTAGCCTGTAAAACGCTTCGACAAGGGTGGGGCTGTCGATAAGTCTTCTGGCACGTCTTTCCACCGAATCCAGAGCAGCCAAATGTTTCTTGGCAGAGCCATCCCAGAGGTGGCAGCAGTATTCCATGCAAGGTCGGATCTGTGCTTTATAAAGCTGCAGCCTTTGCTTCTTGGAGAAGTACTGCCTTGCCCTCGAGAGGATACAAAGTTTTTTGGCAGCAGTTTTTGCTATGGATTCGATGTACTTGCCCAAAGTTCAACTTACTGGACATTTCAAGGCCCAAAAGTTGCAGTCGCTCGGTGATTTTAACAGGCACACCTCGGAATGTTGGAGCCATAAGGAATGGACTTCGTTTGGCGGAGAACAGACACGCCTGTGTTTTTGACGCGTTAAATTGAACCAGATTGGCATCGCCCCAGGTACCATCATCATCAACAACGGACTTCAGTCATCACATATTGCAANGGCCAATTATTTTTAATATCAAATTCATAAAATGCTAATTGACTTTCTGTAATTAGCACTTACTTGTTGAATAGCACGATGTCAGGTTTCCAAACCTTGTCGGGAGGTAGACGTAACACGCCTATACCACCATAATCAGCTTCATCCCACATAAGCTGATAGTCCATCCATACTAAACGCAGCCATACGTTCGACTTCATGATTTGATTCTTTTCGTTCTGAAAATAAGGCAAACGGTTACCTACATGCTAGGTTATGGTTTCTTAGATTTAGTTTTCAACTTTAATACAAATGTGATACATACAACGTTGATAAGCTGTACAAAAGCGAGTCCGAATCGCACATCGACTTTCTGGGTCATATTCTGCACAGGGCGGATGAGTTTGTTGTACCCACGGAACAGGTCGCGGACTAGCCGCTCCTCGTCTTCCGAGCACCATCCTGGAATAAAAAAAAAAAATATGCTACGTGTTTTTTCATCACCATCAACACCAGGCTAGTATAGCCACTTTAGGTGCACGACCACGGGAAAAGTGGTGCTGTTTACATTTTAATATGATTGAAAAAAACTTCGCAGTGAATATGGGAGTGCAGAGAAACTGTGATAGAAACTAAGAATGTGAAAGTATGTATACCTACCAAATTTAAATTATGAAAATAATTAAGCAAAAGTCAAATCACAAAACAGAAAAGCTTTTATATTGCTCTGTGTAAGACTAAAATAAGTGATTCAAAAACAAAAGATTCTCTAGAGAAGAGAAACTGAATCATTGATCGATTTTATACGAAGATGGGGTAACTAATTCAGCAGCATAAGTATAGTTTTATTTTGAACACATCGTAAGAAAACATCCTCCGCCCGTGATGCTGTGCGGCGACGACAGATCAATAAGGGAACAGCCGTGAGATAAATGTCACATCTGATACTTGTCAACATTTTATAGAGCGGAACATCGCTTAATTTCATTAAATCGTTAAATAATAATACTTTTATAACTGTACAATATTAACTGGCTGTAAAATTAGTAGACCAGTGCAGTTGCGACTCTTACAAATATTAATGCATACTGGTTTTACTGAAAGATTTATTTTATACGCGAAGCAGTGATTTTCTAGAGACATCAAATAAATAAATTAAAGTTTATGAAGCGGCTTATTTAATTATAAGTATTTAAACAGTTGTTATTAACACAAATTCAATTAATAACTTTGATCATTAATTCTAATAAGTTGAAATGAGAGATATTGTGAAGAAACTTTGTCTAATTAAAATAAAAAGTGCAACTCTAGCAGCCATTTTTTGATTTGATTATGTTTCCTTTAATGGTTTGTTATTAATCGTATAATGCAAGTACCTGAGTAGAGCACGGTGAGCAGCGCTGCCGCCAGAAGGCAGGCACGCGACCCGCCCAACATGGCGCCGCGGACTGCCGCACGCAGCCGCCCGCCCAAGCTGAACTCTACGCTGGGCGGCGATGCACTCATCGCTCGACTATTATCTATCGTTTTAAAATATATGTATTTAAAAAAAAATTAGGTATTTTAAATCAGCCTGCCTAAGGCAGGACTCGAACCCACGATTTTTTCAAACTGTTTAATTAAAATTTAGTTTAGAAGAGTAGAAGCGATTCTATTCGCTAAAGAAATTTTAATAAAAAATTAGGTAATTTGAAATTGAATTACTCCTAGTATTAGTACGTACTACTCATTAAACAGTTGTCATTATGTGTTCGTTACTGTCTCTTTAATGTGTTTTCGTTACTTGTCTCTTCATTGTGTTTCCCTTACTTGTCTCTTTTATGTAATGTAGTAAATGTTTCAATGAAAAAAAAATCAAAGCTTGTCAGTTGAAAAACATTCCATGACGTTTGACGACCACACATCGAGATGTAAACACTGTGGCTGTAAGAGTCAGCAAAATGGCCTAAAATTATCTAATATTTAGTACCTACTAAAGATACTAGGTAAGTAAAAGCTTTTTTTCACACTGCTCTGAATTTCTTGGAAAACTGGCAAAGTCACTTTTCGATACGTCCTAATTAGGCCAATACATAAAAATAGAAATTAACCGGACTAACCAGGTAGTTATAATTATAGGTATAAAATAAACCTATACTTTAATTAAAAGGAATCGTAGATAGTATTGAGTGTTTTCATGAGACAATATTAAGTATCTAAGTATAAGTATATGGTTTTCGAGTGATGCCAAGATTGTTCCGCGCACTTCCGCTCCCTGCACTCACCTGCATGCCGCCGCACGCCCACTCTCGTGCTAATAAAGAGCCAGGTTGCATGGGCTTTGTATCGCCAGGAAGTGAGTTCCCGATGCAAACGATACACAACCTCTTTCAGTAGCAAGTAGGTACCTATCTATATCAAGCTACTACGATTTTACCTTGGTATGATGATTCTGATCTAAACTAAAGAGGTTTGGAGAAATCGAACAATATCATAAAATCTACTTTTCCATTATTAGGTTCTCATATTGGTGACTTATGTTGAATTGAACTATGTTGAGTATTTCGTTCATTAATTAGATGTTTATTTTCAAACTACCTACTTATATTCAGCTTTCAGAGGAAAGATATTAGCCATGCCTAGAATTTTCTTTAATAATTCAAATCGATTTGAGATTTTGTTAGCTGTTCAGATTTTTCAGAAATTTATAGGAGCTTTATTATGAGCTTGCTAAGCTCATATTTGTGTGACTATCTACGGTTGACTATCAAATAAGTTAAAAGCAATCAACTGTTATGTAATCTAAAGGACTCTACCGGTCCTTTATAATTAGTTAAAAAGCAATGAATATATGAATTTAGGAGAACAGCTATGTTTCATTTTGCATTACAAAGTTCCTGTGACCGATCCCTCCCAGAGGCTGACTCCAGGATTTAGTGCGCATGTGCCGCTATCCCATGGGATAGCATCGATTGTCTCCAGTCGTTCGGTTCTCTACCAAACTCACCGAGAATTATATAGGTCAGGGTTCCCCACTCGCTTCCAACGAATGCATTGTTCATAAAAGAATCTAATTTGAGAGGCAGAATGAGCTTTTTGAATATTTCATTAGCATGAACACAATTTAACTTCGTAAATTACTTTACCCCGACTTTAAGTGGCTAGGGATGAGGAATATTGAAGTAAATGACACACAAGTCTAATTTGTTTCATTCGTTTATATTTAATAAACAAAATGCAATTCAGAGTATTAACCCTAACAATTGAACAAATCGTGGAGACAACAGGTCTTCCCAATGTCGACGTAAAGACGCCACGCATTGTCGGCAACAATATTAGAAGAATTCGTTTCTAGATTTCTAATTGTTACGTCACACCATGCGCGGCATCCTTCGCCCGGGTCGGCACACAACCGCTATCTTGTGGTTGATGACACAATATAGAACAACAATAAATAAAATAGGTAAGAAAACATTGGCTCATAATCATAGTCGCTCCGCAACTTCCAAAGGACCGCCTACAATTATTCATGACACCTCACAGAAGGAAAACATAGTGTGAGCTTCGCGAGGATACATTTTCCGTAGTTGTATCCGCGCAAGAGCTATGACGATTGGACGTTTTCGCTCTGAGAGGTTTACAATGTTTTCGGAAAATCAATGCGTAATAAACCCTGGCGAAATGAAGACAGGGTTCGCTTTTAGGTCCAACCAATGAGAACCGTAGGATGAATTCGGTTAAATGATCAATAATTATGTCTGTCAGTAAGTAAAGGATGAGAGCGGCAGTTCTGGCTGATGTGAAACTTAAGGCTGTGCGCACTGTACTGTACAGGCTTCAACAATAGTACCCACCCTCAGATCATAGAAGGGATGATCTGAGTACCCACCTGTTTGGATTCACAGTAATAATGCACAGTATAATATTTTATTAACTGTCTCCATAAATATTGTCTGATGCAACAGTAGAAAAAATTGTATAATTTTGATGGCGATGTATAACTTCATGTAGTAATTAATATGTTTAATATGTACACCTGAAAAAATGACTTTAGCCTCAATTAAGATTTTGATAAAGGAGAAAATTTGCATAAAGCTAAGATTATTTCAGCGTATGAATTCACTGTTACTGTATGGAAAGAAGTACAAACTTGATTATTAATATGTAATTCAATTTATTTGTATAAGTCGTTCCGAAAGACCCAGGTATGACTTTTACAAAATAATACTTTGATTAACTACAACTTTTAACGAACGTTTTATTAAGCTATAGCCATGGATATTTTACCATTTATAACAATATCGACCCGTTCACAACGAGGCATATCACAACCTGTACCAATTGAATCAACATTGTTTGTAAAGTTCTATACTAGCTAATGACACAAATACTTCCGAAAATAAAGTTAGGGATAACCACGATTCACGGAATCGAACAAGAAGGAAACAAAGGGCCTTTGCGTTTCTGCCCAAACCCTAGACTGTACAATAGATTTTAAGAATCAAGAAAGTTCTAACAAAGTTTAAATTTTAAATGCGAATCAGGTCGTTTAACGGTTTGAAGGAAGACGTTTTTGTGCTAAAATTCATGTATCGGCCACAATCGTAACTTACGGCCATTTGAAACGGTGACTACTCTAGCGTGGACCTCTCAAGCAAGACCAGCGTGCGCGGCGCTGGCGGTGGCGCGGCAGTGTACTGCCGCTATTGCTTATCAGTTCCAGGACAGGAACTACTGCTCCAAACCACTTGACGCAGTTTAAGACATTTGCTGACTCTGCTGTTCTTTGGGGACCAGTTGCGTGTAAAATATTATTATCCCTTGATAGTGACGACCTTTCGTCATAACATGGAAGAAGTAGCATAGGAGTCGATTAGGACGACCTCAGAGGTTATAGGATATTAGTCGGATAGGCAGTTTTCGGTTGAACGCACAGGGATGGCAGTCAGCGGTAACTTACATCTACAGGGGGCGCGGGCGTCGAGGCTAGCGGCGGCAACTCCTTCGTCGCGGTGTCAGCGCCCGCGCCGGTTCGCACATCACAACTTAACAAGTATTCGCGGTATCACAGAACGTTACGCGTGCGCAGCCGCAGGCGGGCGGGTCGCTACGACACCATGATGTGTGGCGCGGACAGCAGCACGGCTAGCGTGGCGATGATTGTGAACAGGGTAAAGATAATAAGGCACAGTCTGTCCACGACCATGGCGGCGAATTTCCAGTCGCGCGAAATGTCCGCATCTTCGTCATCTTTGCGCATCTAAAAAAGAAAACACACGATGAAGAACATATCTCACCAAAAAAGGGAATAATTAAGTTTTGGCCAATATTATACCTGATCTGTGATGACTCTGATCTCTTTCAGTATGAGCGAGAGCTCATAGTCGACACCAAAACAGCTATGCGCAGCCAGCCCGGCTCCGTTTTCTTCGCCCCCCCTGAAACAGGCAAAAGTCTGTAGCGACTGCTCAAACGGGATGCCTATACTACAGGTAGAGCCGAGGAACGAAGGGCGCTACGGGAGTTATGCTGTTAATGTTCAAAGTAGACAAGATCAAACCAGACCCATAGAAGATACTACCGAGAAGTGAAATGTAATTTAAGATAGAGTATGATATTGTCCCATGATCGAATGATTCGTATTGTAAAAGCTGTTAGGGTCGGGTTAACTGCGGAACTTTCGAGGCGGGGGTTTAATATCGTAACCGTGCTATTTACGGTGAGTAGTGTTCGTGTAGATCGTCGAGGGACCTGTAGTATCGGCAGCAGGGCTGCTGCGCGTGCGCATGGCGAAAGTCATCGTCGATGTCGAGCACGTTCGCTAGGAGCGACTTGGAGGAGCGCTCGCGCAACTCCAGGTCCGGCGGCGGCGGCGCGCGCGCCGGCGGGGGCGTGGCCGCCGAGCCCGGCCGGGACATGCGTAGGATCCATGGCAACCAGTACAGGAATACGCAGCGAATCTACGGAGATTAATTCACTATGAACAAAGTCAGTTCGTATAAGTTACATAAACGAGTATAATGCATTTGGCGCACCGAGGTGACGGGCCATCAATTGTATCATTGCAGGAAAATATGATATTGCAGGGCTATTTATTTGACCGCCATATTTTTCAAATAGGTACGTCACATTAGGAGACAGCATTAGCTGTTAAAAGTTACACACTGTCATAAATAACAGTAAAAATTGTTCTATTATTTATTTTCAGGTCTACTTATCCCCTTAGGACCTAACCTATATTAACCTATACGAACCCAATCACTCATTTCGTGCGTATCTGCGTGGCGGTGGTGATAGTTTAGGATGAGTATCGTGGAGACGACAGAGGAGGCCACCATGAACATGATGCAGTTGAAGTATGTGCCCAGGAGCGGTACGGCGTCCGACGTCGCCGGCATCGTCTCCGCTACCATGTTCAGAAACACCGTCAATGACAGCAGAATCGTTACTCCTGCAATGGAAGTCACATTTGACGTCACGTGGCTCTATGTAAAACACTTTTTTAGGTATTTCATAATATGATTTCTATACAGGGAGAGGTAAAGTGGAGCATATAGTGATATGTTGTTGGTAAATCTTTAACAATAAATAAATAAATAAATAGTTTTAAATATGATTGGAAGAATAATATTGCTTAAACCATCGTGGGTGAGAACATTTTTAAACACATTACATGCAGTATCGCGTTTGTCATAATTATTACTATTAAATTAATTTAACACATACCCAGTGACAGTTTTTCGCCGGAGTCAGGTGGCAGGGTGAAGCCCAATAGCGCCATGGAGGCGATGAGCACACACGGTACTATAAGGTTAAAGAAGTAGTAAAGCGTCTTCCGTCGGATCACCACCGCGAATGTGATATCAATGTACGGCTCCGGGCAACAATTGTAGTATATTTCGTTGCGTTTGCCTGGCACGCCTAAAAAAAGAAAACATATTGAAAAAAGTTCAGTGTTGACGAAAATAAGATTCAAAGATCAATTAAAATAAGCTTCCAACCTATTAGTTCCCATTCGCCGTTTGTGACAAAACTGCTTATATCTCCGCCTCCTTCATCTTGAAGTTGAAGGTCCAACTGAAATCGTAGTTAATTTGTGAATACCGTTCAAAGCTTCAATAAAAATATATTATTTTAAACTTTTCTTGTTATTTAATCTACTGGGAATAAAAACTTGATCAGACGCTCTAACTTCATAGAGTATTGGCAAATTAAAGTCATTTCGTGTTGGTTGTAATGGCGCTAATTTGATTACTTTGCAAGAATGTAGACAGTCCTGTTTATTCCCAGCCTTACTTGATATCCGTCATAAGTCCAACTGCCAAACTTCATCTCGCAGCGCTGGTCGTCGAATGGAAACCAGGTGATGTCGATCTTGCAGGTGCTCTTGAAGATACCAGGCGGCACGTACAGACAGGAGCCGTTGTTTCGCACCACCACGTTGGTTGGGTAAGTGCTGTCGAAGCCTTCGTCCGCACTGAAAAATATTTCTTTCGTCGAAATCCGTAACGGAAAAGGCTTCAATTTGAAAGAACTGATGCATAGATTTACTATATGTAGAGTTTCATAGTTGATGAACTAAATTGCACTTTTAGTTGCCTAACGGTGAGGATTAAGACGCATTTGTCAATTGGGAATATTTTTAAATCCTATTTCTTCAATTATTAGTAAGTTTCAGTAGTACCACAAAATAATAATAAGTACTGTAGTAATTTATATCGAGTTCATAAGATTTTAATTTAAGGATATTAAATTCTTAATTTGTGTTTTTGGTAAGAAATAAAGAGTTTTCACATAACGTGCAATTTTTAAGACTTTTCTGTGACATGGGTGTGCCCAACATGAGAAGCAAATTTTTATAAGAGTCGCATCGCCCTAAAGTTAAGAAGTTCTCTGAATGCTAATTTACCTGTTGTACATAAGCACGTCTGGTTTCCATAGCCTGTGGGGTGGTACTCGCAAATCTTTTACACCTCCGAAATCTGAAGTATTCCATCTCACGTTCATATCATTCCATTCCTGAAGTAAAATATTTAGTGTAAGTCGATATGGTACGTAAAAATATTCCAGTACCTAAATTATGTTTGAGTATCAATATCTTATCAAATTACTATTGGTATTATAGTACATTGAACTATGATTCGCCACCCCATGACAATATCGTGCCGTTAAAGTACGTTAGGTGATCCAGTGCAAACACAGCTAATGGATGAGGTGCACGTTAATTGCAGAGCCAATATTGTGCCACTATACTTACGAGCTTAAGCCAGATGTTTGTTATTAATAGCTGGTTCTTCTCGTCCTGTAGAAGAAAATACTTTTTTTAGTTAACGCACCTAATAATTTAAATATACTTAAGGTGAGTTGCACCACCTAACTTTATTTTATTTTGTTCGGAAAACATAGTGTTTAACGGTAACTTTAACGATAACAGGTGCGTTTTCGTATGGAGTTTGACAGATTTTTGACGTTTGTTAAAGTTAAAGTAAGATGGTGCAACCCATCCTTAGACGTTAAGTTATAGGTGTACAGTACAGGTTGTTATAGATATAGGTAGAGACTAATATTTCTTAACTACAATTACACAAGGTACTGTTTACAATTAAGTAAAACAACCAGAATCACAAAAGCTTCCTTCATCCTAACACCACAAGTGTAATTATTGGTTTTATAACATAACCAATTACCTGTTACACCGACACTAACCGATTTACCATGTAAAAGTGAAAACCAAATACTCATTTGTTTTGTGGTATTTTTCGTTTTATTGAGTGTTTACAGGTGAGACTGAAACTGTTGTTTATGTGTTGTGATATTACTAATATTTTTATCGTTCGATTTGAATTCCAATTGTTTAAAGGAGGTGGGACAGGTTCATGAAGATCTTACCAGGGATGTTATGGATATTTAGTTTCGGTTATGGATACGGTTACGGATATAGGAATAATATTATACCGGTTTCGGTTACGGTTACGGATATTTTTTATTTCGGATATCCGAAAATTTCGGTTACGGTTACGGATATCTGTGCTTTAGAATGCAATTTGCAATAGTTTTCCAACACGGTTCATTCATGGCCGCACACTTTACATCGAATAAAAAGTAATAAAAAAAATGATACTAGATGGCATTATAAAGGTAGGTAAATCAGGCTGTATACCTTTACATATAATGTTATACAAAAAACAATTTACACTGCCTACATCCGAAACTATCCAAAACATTTGAATCGGTTACGGTTACGGTTTCGGATATCCGAAAGTTTCGGTTACGGTTACGGATATCCATAACATCCCTGCTTACCACGTCAACGATGTATGAACAGGCCAAAGAGAGTTGCTGCAGTGGATCTCTGTTAATTTCGTCTACTACCGCACGTTTTTGGGTTTGGTTGTCATATTGGTCGAATGTGTATCGTGTTAGTGTAATCTAAGTATTTTTATAATTAGCACGTTAATAATCAGCACCAGCATAATGCTAGAGTTGTAGTAGAGTTTTCTCGTCAACTATCGCAGGTTTTTGTTGTTAGCATGTCTTGTTTGATTATAATAATTATTATTGTGTTAGTGCCAACGATTCACTTAAGCATGTTACATAAATGGAAGCTGCAGTGATTAATCTCTCGTCTTACACAATACATTTTTGGGGCTGGGCGCTGTATACATTGTAGTAAGTATTTCTGTGCTTCAGGATCTTTCATGACCATGAATGTGTGTAAACTGAAGGAGACTGAGAAGAACTGCATCACTCTCTTCGTGTTATAATAGGCTTTTTATGTGTTTACCACTACAATGTAATGCAAAAACGTGGCGCTGAAACGAGAGCTGCTTTTATCTCTATGATCTTTCTATGTATTATATTTTAGTATGATAACTACTGTCTGTGTTATCGATGCCTGGATATTGCGATGAATGACGTTATGTACGTCAATGATCTGAATGAATATGAAACCGAAGGAGAGCTGAAGTAGATGTCTCTCGTCTACTAACGTTCTGTTTTTATATTTATCGTGAAAGTGAGACCGAAAAAGAGACTCATTGACCAAGGACCAATATAGCGTGGTGGTGGTGTGGTGTTTTGTGTTTATTTTTTATTTAATAATAATAATAATAAAAATGTTTTATTTGACAAAAAGGGCGACATCACATTAAAATTTACACAAATTACAAAAAGAAAAACATTGTGCCCTGCTGTCAAATAGGGGCCCGCTCAGCATTAATCGGGGCACGCCGTGGGAATGCCTCGACACTGATTTTCAGCGGGTCCCTTGACGTTGCTGCGCCCAACCGCCGAAGGAGAAGCACTCCGTAAAGTGCCTGTCCGTCGGCGGGAACACGCAAATAGGAGGGCAGCAAAGGGGGGGGCATACAGGCAGTCAAGTCAGTCAGTATTTGGCTGTGTGTGTTGATGCTCATATTTACCACGTCAATGATCTGCATGAGCGTGAGGCCGAAGGAGAGCTGCAGCGGGTCGCTTTCGTTGACCACGGGCCGCTCCAGCACGTTGTAGTGGTCCAGTAGGTGGTGCAGCAGCCGCTTTTCGTGGTAGCCGCCGCAAGCCTCTGGTTGAAAAGTTCATTTGTGATGTATCATCATCCCAACTAATATTATAAATGCGAAAGTAACTCTGTCTGTCTGTCTGTCTGTCTGTCTGTCTGTCTGTCTGTCTGTTACGCTTTCCCGCTTAAACCTCGCAACCGATTTTGATGAAATTTGGCATAGAGATAGTTTGAGTCCCGGGAAAGAACATAGGATAGTTTTTATCCCGGTTTTTGAAACAGGGACGCGCGCGATAAAGTTTTTCTGTGACAGACAAAATTCCACGCGGGCGAAGCCGCGGGCGGAAAGCTAGTTATAGTATAAAACAAAGTTGCTTTCCGCTGTCTGTCACTATGTATGCTTATAAAATATCTTTATAACTACGCAACGAATTTTTATGCGGTTTTTAATAGATGGAGTGATTCAAGAGGAAGGTTTATATGTTTACTTAGCACCCATACGAAGTCGGGGCGAGTCGCTAGTTTCAAATATAGCAAAGAATTTAAGAGAAACCGCTTTTTCGGTTGTCGGTGTTACCTATAAATATTAGACAAAATATTTTAACAATGAATGCTCATAAATAGCGCTAGACGAAGAAACGTTCGATAGAACACGTTACCATTTGCATTTTCATGCAATAGATCATTTTATTGTGTCTTGCAGTGATGAATTGTGCTTCCTAACAATGTGGGATTAACTAGTTTACTGGACATAATGTAACAGTTTTACAAGTGACTTGGTTTTTGCTTAGCTACGTGAATTACGTGATATCGTTAGATGTACGGCTTTTAGACCTTTTCGCTGTAACTTTTTGCGATCTTGTTCACTTTTCGATGGCGGTTCGAGAGGTGCTCGATCTTTTGTGCACGTAGCTCGGGCCCGGCCCCTTCAGCTGAAACTCTTTGATCTTTCGTGCGTGACTAAGCATTGATTAGGAAAATGTCTGCAAGTCCCGACGTGTCAACGCTCGGGGTGAAAGCTGAAATGTTGCTGACGAGAACATGAACGAGATGCGATTATTGGAATGTTTTAACCACGATTTCTAGTTCATGGGAAATAATATTTTTGTTGAATGGCGAAAATATAACTACATTGCATGTTATTCAGTAAATTGAGACATTATAACAATGATACAATCAGTTTTATGTAGCAAATAATAGGAGTGGGTAATTATGACTTGTTATGTATTTTTGACAAAAACAGAGCTAATTATTGATTAAATATAAATATAATTAGTAGGGCTGCGCAATAACAGATTTTTTTATATTACTTATTTTATGTTGTTTTATGTAGTTTTATGTGATGGGAAGGATGATGGATGAACTACGGGTCGTAGTCGTAACGAGGGGTCATCGTCGGCATTCTTACCCCTCGGCCAGAGCAGGCCCAGCAGCAGCAGCAGGCCCGCGGGCGCCGCCAACAGCGAGCGGCGCGCCCGCCACCCCATGTCAGCGCCGCGAGGGGGCCGCGCCGCGCGCCGCCGCCGCCGCCGCCGCCGCCCCGCCGCGCCGCGCCATCACCCGCCCGACCGCGCGACACCGACCCCCGCCTCCCTTTGCCGCACTCCCGCCTATTCGGAATCGAAAACGATCGTTTTAAAAATCAATCCTACGGTTTTCATATATCGACGATTCACGACCGCTCGCCGACGGCAACGCGTGCCGTCCGATCCTCGAGCATCGCCGACCGCCGCGCGTACTTGGTTCGAGTCACGGCGCGTATTTGAGCATTGTTGTTCAGCGGAGTGCGGCCGACCGTGGGGCAGCGGAGCCGCCGGTGTGCGGACTGGCGGAGGCGCCGCGGGCGCGCAGCCGCGCCGCCGCCCATTCACGCGCCGCCCGCCCTCGCCCGCCCGCCCGCCGCCCGCCGCCGCCCGCCGCCGCGCGCGGCTCCTCTCGCCGACCTTCGTCTCGCTCGCGGGCTCACGCGGCCGCGGTCTTCGGCCCGAGCCCGCACCCGCACCGATCACATCCCCGTCCCCCGCACCGCCGAACTCCGCCACTGCCTATTATTATGCTAATTATTTGGCCCTTTTCAAAATTTGCCTACCTCTCATTTTTCACTTTTGCTTGAAAAACGTTTAGAACAGCGTAAGATAACGCGTAAATGAATATTAATTAGGAGACAAATTGTCTTTTGCATCTCGTTTGTTCAAAATTGCACTAGTTTATACCCTTACCTACCTTACCTTATCACAACTTATCGAACTACATTCATACATTTTGTTAATTATGTCATTGCGTTGTGTTAATTGATGTAACAATTTATTCGTTAATACCTACATAGGCTTTAGCGGAAAATTTCTGAAATTACTTCAGACTCATACGAAATAGTAGGATGATCAGAGAGCATTTCAGTCAGTACTATTTCATCGCGCATTTTACGAGTGTGTGTAGAGCTCGTACGGAGGCTTTACACTGTTAATATTACTGCGCCCATTTTGTAGGTCGAGGACCGTGATGGGTTTTCGAAATCTAGCGATTAGAGGCTCAAGTATTGTGTGGTTGTTCAGCGGAGGCTGCGGGGATGCCGGGCCGCGCGGGGATGCTGCGCGCCGGCGATCAATGAGGGTGCTCTGCGCCCCCCTCTCCTCCGCTGAGCCCGCATACTCTACGTACCAGACACCCACGAATTTTCGAACTCGATCCTCGACCTCTGTAGGTGTCAGCTAACGAGGCGAATGATATTTGATAGCACATCCTTGGTAAGGGCTAGACCCGTAGCTCATCATTTCAGCGCAGCCGTCACTTCGACTTGATCCTCAATTTCATATTTCACTCAAGGTTTTCCGTAGTGAAAATATCAGCGATAGACCGTGTGCTGGGGATAGGATAAGTGTTTNAAAGTGTTTGATGTACTTTACTGATATTATTTTTCAAGCAGTCATGTTTGTGCATGAATATTGATTGCTTGATACAAATTTAGAAAATGATGTTAGGTTATACGTAGTTTTTACAAACCTGAAAGACTCAAAACAACTAAACTACAAAGAATAAAACTGCTCAAACTAGCATCTGCCCTCAGCTGTATCAAAATTTCCACCAGAACTTGAATCCCGCTACATTAACATTACATCATCTAACTAAAATACATAAAAACTATATCGCAATTGAAAACAAAGTAAAGATAGAAAGGTAAGTTAAGTTTGCAAAATTAAAGTCTATCGCGAACTCACAAACCATTTGCGGCTGCTCATGCATGCCGTGGCTAATGTTCTAGAACTGCTAATAAAGATTACCCACTCATTACCGTTCATACTTTCCACACCCGATATGATAACACCAATTAGAACACTTTTTGCTGACTGTGACCACCGATAACACAGTTTCTACTTTCGGAAGAAGAAACTCTATTATGTCACGCAGATTTTACCAGGAAAGAGTATAAAAAAGAGAAATGATATGATCAATTTATCTTGAAGGACTTAATCCAATCTAGACATGCCATTATCGCTATTGTCATTAAGAAATAGAGCCCTTTTAAGCTCGTCTCTAAAATGTGTGCGATTATTCACTTTCGGCAAAGTGTACGTGTCACATGAATAAATAATGAAGCGTTATTTAATGACAAAAGTAGACACTTTGGCACATCATTAATTAAACCACAGCAATAGAGGGAACAATACTGTTCTCGGAGACCACGCTCTAGTTCTGTCTTTATTAGGCGCTGGATGTGTTTGGTAAATGGCAAATGTGTTCAGAACCGGGAAGTTTGCGAAACTCGGAGAAAGCGCCCAAGGAGCGCCGTTGAATGGCGCACTAAGAACAAAAGCGGTTCATTTGCTAGAAACTAGGCGAAATAATGAACGTCCTATACCAGAGTGAAATGTCAAAAGTAAAGGTTAAAAGTTACGAGTGCACGGGCGCGGTTTCAATAGACTGCTGAGTACCCGCCGCATTTGTAGTGCCATATGCCAACGTGCCGCTAGGCGTTATCCGAACTAGGCTGTCTCTAAATGCAAGAAAAGCCCATACACACGGCGCAAAATGCTAATGTGTTCATTGACTGCAGGTAGTTGGAATTTACTGCTGGCTCAAACACCTTCACGACCCAAACTTTCTCGATTGTATTGCAGCTTTGATGTTACTGTCATAAAACACATATGTTTTACGAGTTTATTATTTATTTAAAATTGATTTGCACAGAATGGGGCAAAGGCGAACTTAATAGCATCTGGTGTTCTCTTCCAGTTGACCATTGGGCTAAGCCGATAATTTAAAGTAGGCGGTGCATAGAGGTTTAATGTATAAAGCCATTTGATATCTAATGTTAGGTAAACAAACATACATTTTATAAATTAAACTTGCATTAAGTAGGTATGTATGAAAGTACATTATATCTAAATTATAATTCGTGATTAAGACGAAATCTCGCCGAAAACGTTGAAGCTGCGGAAGTCATCAAAACGCTATTCATATCGACCGCGTCTACCTCATTAATGGGTACACTAATGTCCCGTTATGTTGACAAAATCGAGTGGACAGCCGCATAACGAGAGTCGTTTGTTTATTGTTTTTCTTAAATGCTGGCTGAGGTTATCGTGATCGCGAAACACTAGCGCGGGCGTCACGGCGTCGCGTGACCACTCAATGGCTGGCTGCAAATTGCACATTACACGCGGCGTTCGGCCTGCAAGCGACCATTAATGCATTCCTGCAGATTACTTCATAGCGAGCCGAGCATACAATCTGTTACAGTTTTTACAGTCCTGCGAAATTACTTCAAGATTCCTATCTATCTGACCGACCAGACTATACTACCCATTGTAAAATTCAGTTGCATAATAGGCACCCCAATGACCTACTTGCTTGCTTCATTGAATTGTATTTTACGACGGATTGTAAACTATACTAAAATTAAAATAAATATCTATTGAAAACAACATCCAAACTGAAAAACATCAATGACTAAAACAAATTTTGTGGGAAATACGGAAAATTCATCCACTTCACGCATCAAGGGTATATTTTCCTCTATTACTTTATTGCACTGTATAGAGTAACGGATGCCTCCATTCCATCTCTCCTATGAAATAGGAATGCGCTATGGCGAGAACTATAAAACCAATACGTTTCCTAGAATGGGAAGGGTTTCGTAATCAATATTGCATGGGCAAAAAATATTACAGTTTGCTTTAGAGGCGACATAAGCTGTGAGGAGGGCAGCACTGATTACTTATTGATGACTGCGGGACCACCGACCCTCGGCCGTTGATAAATCTGGATCGAAAATTGTGTCACTGTAAAAGTCATATAACCTTTATTTTCCTAAACGAAATTATTTCAGGAATGTGTTTTTAGGTCACCCACTGCATTGGCTAGCGATTTGGCCGTCGATGCCGTTGGATTTTAAATTGGAGCTGAAATTTGGCCGGCATTTATTTTTGACTAGTAAAACCTGCCGTTTTGCTCTCTTTTAAAAGTATTCAACTTATCTACGTTTGTAAAAAAATAAGAAATGAAACGGTGACTGCATTTACTGCACCATCAAAACTAAACTACTAACAAACGTATCTTAACAGCATCAGGCTGTAAAGTTATCTCATGTTACTATAAAAAAACCCAATCAAAATATAACTAACATTAGTACAAGTAAGTACTTATCCCATTTATTTATTTATTTATTTATTTATTTTCCATATAAATACACACAGTAAACATTAATATTTTCTGCCAAACTGTGACACAGTTTGTCGGCAGCAGTTCTCACAATACTGTTATTACATAGCCTCTAAATAACATTATACGTATAGGTACAGACGACGGCACGCCAAGTAAAACACTTAGGTTGAATTGCACCACCCCACCCCAATCGCGACCACAACAACCGGTGCCTTCTATATGGAGTTTGACAGACCCTTGACGTTTGTATTTCAGTCAACAGCTGAACACGATACTTTAAAGATTAATAGGTAGGTAACAATTAATTTTATAACGGCGAAAGCAAATGTAAGTACCTACATTAAAGGAAACAATATAACGTTAATTCCAAGAAACAGTTACCAAAGTTAAGAATATATCTTAAAACGAACGAAGATATTATAATGATTATAAGTTATACCTATAATCTCTAAGCATCACGATTCAATAATTCTACCTAAATATGAAAAATAAATATGTAATTCTTAAATTGTTACGTGATCACGATCAAGCAATAAAGAGTAATTTTATAATATTCAAAGGAAAGCTTTCTCTATTAGAGATTAGGCTTACAGTCACTACCGAAGGGTTTAAGTTCCATGTAATTTTATGGTTTAATGCAAAGTAGCCGCGTTCCGCGTCACGTATTTAATTGAAATGGAAATAAGATTATTAAGTTATCTAAATATTTGTTGCAATAAGTCACGTGTACTTAGAATGGTCGATAAGTTCAAATTTTATTGCTTTAACGATTTTTTTCATCATCACAATATTAAGTTATATTCAGATATATGCTAATTGATACAGCTAATATGACAAGGAAAATCATAAAATGTAGGTTTTAAGTTTT